GCTGGGTCTCCAGGGTCCCAAGCACCCCACTCCCCAGATGCAGGTGATCCTGTTCGGGTGAGCCAGGGTGGAGGACACACACCACCCACCGGGCTTGGGGTCTCATCATCACCTCCAGCTGAGCACAGGCAGATGTGGGTGGAATCCGAGACCAGAGACAGTTGGGCTGCAGGCGGTGGCCCCTGTCTCAGCTGCCCCTGGAGGCCAGAAGGCCTCCAGGACACAGACTCTTGGCAGAGGGACGGAGACCCCAGTGTGTGTGGGTGGGTGCAGCCTCTTGGACCCTACCCATGGGAGGTGCCGTGGGATCTCTGAGGGGAGCTGATGCTGTGGGCTGGCCCTTTCTGCTGTCTGCGGGTGGCTGGAGGGCTGACCGGGGTGGGGTGCTGCGCTGAGCTGATATCAGGTGCCCGGCCCATGGGCAAGGAGCAGGTCACTGCAGCGCCTGGGGTCTGGTCTGGGCAGCCGGCTCTCCTTTGCTCAGCACTTCGGGGTCTGATGCTGCTGGCAGGTGCCAGACAGCCTTGCAGACGGGCTGTGTGAGCTTTGTGACCCAGGCCCCGAGAGGAGAGCCAAGCCTCAGGAGACACCCACTCAGGGGCTTTGTGAAGACCACACATCACAGGCTTTTTGCCCGGAGGCCAGGTGTCCCATGCCGGCATCCACCGCCTGACGTCTGCTGCCCAGTGTCCACTGTCCGGCATCACAGCTGGGCTCAGCCTCAGTTCCTGGGGCTTCTGTGCCCCCAGTCCTGCAGATCAAAAGTCCCCATTTCTGGCCCCGCCTTTGTGATAGTGTGGAGAGTAAAGGAGCCTTCGACGCAGCCCAGAGCTTCCCGGAGCGTCTGTCTCTCAAGTGAAGGCAGCCATCAGCTTGTGCTGTTTGGAGGAAGTGGCATCCCTGCCACCATCTGTACTCGCATCGGCTGGGCAGGGTAGTCCCTGAGGCCAGGCTGGCCTGAGGACTTCCGGGGGCAAGGTGGGGCCGTCCTGATGGGCACCCCCAAGCCGACCCCATAGAGTTCCTGAGCCCTCCTGGGCACGTTTTGGGGAGGGTGGCTGGGGTGGGGGAGCCACAATTTGGCTCCCCAGGGAGAAGTAGCACAGGTTCAGGATGTGAAGCCATGTTTGGGGGATGGTGAGACTTTTACTCTTGAGCTTGACTTTCTTTTGGGTATCCTCTTGACACGCAGCTGCCCTGCTCTGCCCCGCCCACATGCTCCCGAGGAGTGGGGTCTAGGGTGAGGGGTCACCTCCCAGCCGGGAGCCATCTGTCTTAGTATCCCAGACCTGCTGTCTGGCCGCCTGTCAGCAGGTCCCAGGCGTGGGTGTGGTGCTGATGAACTTGGTGAACTTGGGCCCGGCCAGCCCTGGGCCTGGGTGTGGAGGTATGGGGCCAGAGGCCACCCTCAGAGTGCTGGCCGAAAGTCCACCCTGGGGACCAAAGGCCCCCAGAAGCCACCGAACAGAGGTGATTGCAGGGAGGGCAGCCTGGGGCTTCCGTGGCCGGAGAGTGTGTCTGGGAGGTCCCTCAGCATCAGCTCCAAGCCCCACCTGCACCTCTCAGACACTCTCCACCTGCCCCTCTCGGACACCCTCCACCTGCCCCTCTCGGACACCCCCACCTGCCTCTCTCTGACACCTTGCCCCTGTGAGGCATCCGTGAGTTGGGGTGCGTGGGGTGCTGTGTACTGAGCAGGGTGTGTCCCCCGGGGCCCTCCCAGGCACTCCGTCCTCCCGCTGCTAGGCCTCAGGGCTCACAGAGCTCACTTGTCTCATTGACTCAGACAGAAGCCGCCCCTGGACATCCTGTTTTTCTTCTGTTGTATGAACAGGAAGCCATTGATTGTGTGAGACGAGTGTCAGCATGGCCATGTCCGAGCCTGGCGGGGCAGAGACTCGGCCGGCCACACCCGCTGTGGTGCCTCCAGCTCTGGCCTGAGACCCGGGGCTCCCCAGTCTCGTGGGCTGTGAGCACCATGAGGGCGCAGATGGCCCTGGGATGGCTGGGGTGGGCGCCGTGGAGTGCCCATCATATACCGGCCACGGCCTGGAAGGAGACCCAGGCGGTCACTGCCCTGGGGCTCAGCGTCCAGGCCACAGTGAAGGGACGGGGGCAGAGGGACAGCGGCGCCACAGGGGACTCCCAGGCAGGCTGCTGGGTACTCAGGAAGCAGCCTCAGGCCCAGGGGGCAGGGTCTAGGTCACAGGGAGGGTGGAGGCCAGGAGGGTGTAGTAGGCCTGGCTTTGACTCTCAGGCCCAGGGGCCATGGTGGAATCCACAGAGAAGGGGCCTGGCCCACCCCATGTTTCTGTGGGATCCTAGGGCCGTGCTGGCTGCTGGCTGGGTGTTGTCTGAGGGCACAGTGGCAAGGCAGGGAGGCCCCTGGGAGCTGGAGTGTTCAGGGGTGGGGCCCAGACCCTGCCCACCTAGAGGGCAGGACCAGAAGGACATGAGCAGGGCTGAAGACCACCAACACTGATAGGGGGGAGCCGAAGACCACCAACACTGATGGGGGGGGTGGGACAAAGACCACCAACACTGACAGGGGGTGCCGAAGACCACCAACACTGATGGGGGGGAAGACCACCACCAACACTGACGGGGGAGGGATGAAGATCACCAACACTGACAGTGGGGGACGAAGACCACCAACACTGATCGGGGGGGAAAGACCACCAATACTGACGGTGGGGGTCGCAGACCACCAACACTGACGGGGGGCGCTGAAGACCACCAACACTGATTGGGGAGGAAGACTACCAACACTGACGGGGAAGGCCAAAGACCACCAACACTGGCGGGGGAGGGATGAAGATCACCAACACTGACGGTGGGGGCCGAAGACCACCAACACTGACAGGGGGCAGCCAAAGACCACCAACACTGACGCGGGGGGACGAAGACCACCAACACTAATGGGGGTGTGATGAAGACCACCAACACTGACATGGGGGGGACGAAGACCACCAACACTGACGGTGGGGAAGACCACCAACACTGACGGGGGAGGACGAAGACCACCAACACTGATGGGGATGTGATGAAGACCACCAACACTAATGGGGGTGTGATGAAGACCACCAACACTAATGGGGGTGTGATGAAGACCACCAACACTGACGCGGGGGGGACGAAGACCACCAACACTGACGGTGGGGAAGACCACCAACACTGACGGGGGAGGACGAAGACCACCAACACTGACGGTGGGGAAGACCACCAACACTGACGGGGGAGGACGAAGACCACCACCACTGATGGGGGGAAGACCACCAACACTGATGGGGGGTGGATGAAGACCACCAACACTGACGGGGATGTGATGAAGACCACCAACACCGATGGGGGGGACGAAGACAATCAACACTGATGGGGGGTAGATGAAGACCACCAACACTGACGGGGGGGGGAGCTGAAGACCACCAACACTGACGGGGGGAGCCGAAGACCACCAACACTGACGGGGGGGGGACGAAGACCACCAACACTGATGGGGGGGACGAAGACCACCAACACTGATGGGGGGGAAGACCACCAACATTGACGGGGGGGACGAAGACCACCAACACTGACGGGAGGGGGGACAAAGACCACCAACACTGACGCAGGGGAGCCGAAGACCACCAACACTGACTCACCTGGCTGCACAGTCACCACCACTGTCTACCTGCAGACTTTCTCATCTCACACATCTGAAACTCTGCTTTAAGAGAAAACCTGGGCTGGGCACGGTGGCTCTCTCCTGTCACCCCAGCACTTTGAGAGGCTGAGGCAGGTGGACCACTTGACCTCAGGAGTTCAAGACCAGCCTGGCCTATATGGTGAAACCCTATCTCTACTAAAAATACAAACATTAGGTGGGTGTGGTGTTTCGTGCCTGTAATCCCAGCTATTCGGGAGGCTGAGGCAGGAGAATTGCTTGAACCGGGAGCTGGAGGTTGCAGTGAGCCAAGATCACACCACCACACTCCGGCCTGGGCGAGAGTGAGACTCCATCTCAAAATAAAATAAAATACAATAAATAACATAAAATAAAAGTCTGTTTTGTTTATTTTGAAGTGCAACCCACATGTAGGAAGGAACGCAGAACACACGGCAGAGCTCAGCACGAGATCTTGAACACACCACGGTATGCTCCACCCAGCCCTGTCTGGCCCCTCACTGGTCCTGCCCAGAAAGCAGCACCTAGAATGTGGGGCTGCTCACACTGCCTGCCATGGTCACACGGGTACATCCTCCCCCCCGGGCCTTGTCCCCGGGCTGGTCCGCTTGCTCCGTCCTCCTCCAGTGGACATTTGGGTGTTCTCAGCCTCTCTACTAAAAATGCAAAAATTAGCCGGGCATGGGGGCGCACGCCTGTAATCTCAGCTACTCAGGAGGCTGAGGCAGGAGAATTGCTTGAACCCAGGAGGCGGAGGTTGCAGTGAGCCAAGATCGAGCCACTGCACTCCAGCCTGGCGACAGGGAGACTCTTTTTCTTTTTTTTCTCCTGTCATTTCTGTTTGTTGCTTCAGGGAAACAACTGATCTTCTCACTTGGGCTCGTGCTGAGCATTGATGCCGAACTATGGGTGAATTCTGTTTTTTTTCTTTTGAGACAGAATGTTGCTCTGTTGCCCAGGCTGGAAGTGGGCACGATCTCGGCTTACTGCAACCTCTGCCTCCCAGGTTAAAGCAATTCTCTGCCTCAGCCTCCCAAATCGGATTACAGGCACAAGCCACCACGCCCAGCTAATTTTTTGTATTTTCAGTAGAGATGGGTTTTCACCATCTTGGCCAGGCTGGTCTTGAACTCCTGACCCCATGATCTGCCTGACTCAGCCTCCCCAGGTGCTGGGATTACAGGTGTGAGCCACTATGCCCACCAAAGGCTGGGTGTAGGGAGTGGTTATCTTTAAATTTTATTTATTTATTTATTTTGAGATGGAGTCCTGTTCTGTCGCCCAGACTGGAGTGCAATGGCATGATCCCCGCTCACTGCAATGTCTGACTCCCGAGTTCAAGTGATTCTCCTGCCTTAGCCTCCCAAGTAGCTGGGATTACAAGCACATACCACATGCCTGGCTAATTTTTTGGTATTTTTAGTCGAGACGGAGTTTCACCTTGTTGGCAAGGCTGGTCTCGAACTCCTGACCTCAGATGAACCGCCTGCCCCGGGCTCCCAAACTGCTGGGATGACAGCCGTGAGCCACCGTGCCCGGCCCCCATGGGTAAATTCTGAGAGTGTAGCCTTTGATCCTTCATGGCTTTCTGCATAATCAATCACGTTGTCGGCAGGTCCTCATGTTTCTGTTTCCCTTCCCTGCTGGATGCCACCTGCCGTCAGACGTCCTCGTGTGCCGCCCTGAGTGCCATGCTTCATGCTCGTGGGTGGCTTTTACCCAGTTCGGGGCGCTCCCTTCCCGTCCTAGCCGAGTTATTTCTTAAACCCTGAGCTGAACTGAATTTGAGAACGTTTGCTCTGTGTCTGCAGAAAGGGCCACGTGGTTCTGTCCTCTATTCCAGTCCTGGGCTGAACCACACCGCGGGCTCTCGAGTTAAGTCAGCCTGGTGTTCCGGAGTGACCCCGTCACGCACGCTCCTCAGCACATGTGGCAGAACACAGCTGCTGGGGTCTTATCTGATCTGCATGAGTCCTTAGCTTCCCTCACCCAGCTCCAGGGCCTTCTCTGTTCCCATCCTGCTCTCCAGGGGGGCCCAGCAGTTTCCATGGCCCCCATGTCCCGGGGGAGTTCACTGCTGAATCCACCGGGCTCCTGCCCCCCGCCCCCCGCCCAAAGGCTGTACCTGTGGAGTCCCTGCAGGCAGCTGCCCCTCCCTGGCCTCCGACCTGACCCCATCACATGATGGAGCCTGGGTGTGTCCCTGCTCCCCTGGGTGGGGTTGAGGCACCACAAGCCTCCAGGCCAAGCCACGGGGCCCCCAGATTCTTTCTGAAAACCTCCCTTGGGCCTCACTCTAGTGGCTCTGTCCTTATGGGGCAGCGTCCCTGGTTGCACGTTTGCAGCCCCCACCATGAGGTGGGGGCGGCCTCCCAAGCAGGGTTGGAAGGAGGGGCGGGGCAGCAGGGGCAGTGACAGAGGCCTAAAGAGCTACAGGGAGGGTAGAGACTTGGGGTCCTCATGGTGGGGAACAGGGTCTGGGCAAGAAGATGCTGATGAGGTTACTGAGGGTGCTGGGAGGAGCAGGTGAGGCTCAGGCCCATAAAGGCCTAGACAGCAGAGGACCCAGCCCTGGGGCTGCTCTGTGACTGCAGCTGGAGGATGAGGCCCAGCTCCCAGGGCTGAGCGTGGAAGTGCTGCCAGGGGGCTGAGGGGAGGGGCAGGCCACAGGGAAGGGACGGCAGTGAGCCCAGGCCACGGTGGGCACTGCGGCAACTGGCAGATGTGTTCTGTGTGTGCCAGAGGTGGGGAGGGCTCACCCCAGGTCCAGAGGAGCCCTGGGCCTTGGGGGTCAGTGGGAGGGGCTTCCTGGTGGGCTGTGCGGCAGCCCCTGCCCCTGCACCTGCTCCTCCCATGGTTGTCGTCTTGTCCCCACAGGCCAGGACCCCCTCCTGCTCCTGCAGACCCTGCAGACCCTGTGGTCCACGCGGGAGCGACAGCAGGTGAGTGGGTGTGGGGTCGAGTCACAGCTGGCAAAACTGGCTGTTAGGCAGAGACTGGCCATTCGTCTGAATGCTCCAGCTCCCAGTGATGGCTGCTGGCACGAGGGTGGCACAGAGCCCAGGCGAGGCTGGGTGGACCCTGGTGGATGCAGGGCCCTGAGGCTCAGAGATGGGGAAGGGCCTGCAGCCCCCACACAGCCACCGGGCCACGCCACGGACACACAGCCCAGCGTGGATGCCTCCCAGTCTGCACTGGCTCCATCTCCAGGCCCAGGTGCTCTTCCACCTCCAGCTTTCTGCCACTGTCCCGCTTGGTGCAGGAGACGTCCTTCCATGCCCAGGGAAGGACTTTGGTGTGGAGACCTGGTGGACTGTGGCCACACCTGCTGAACTGGGGCCTCTCCTCCCAGTTAGGGCCCCAGGGCTGGTGTTGGGGTGAGGAGGCCTCCCTGGGTGGGAAGCTGTGCGGGCCCCCCCATGGCCACAGGGTCCTGCAGTAGAGGCTGCCACAGACTGCATCCAGGGTGGCCTGTGAGGGGCGGTCTTCCTCATGGCCCTGGGGTGGGGAAGACCCACCCAGCAGCGCCCATGGCCCAGCAGCGCCTCTGAGGTCACCTCAGAGAGGCGCAGGGGCCACTCACCTACAGGGACTCGGCTGTCACCAGCGCTGCCAGGCCTGAGGCCCTGGCACCCAAGCCCGGGTGATCGTTAGAGCAGGCATTCAGGACAGGGAGGCCTTAGGAAGCCGGGGGGGGGTGGGCGGGGAGGCTTGAGCAGGGCAGGAGGCCGGGTGGAAGAGGCCAGGGAGAGGCTGCAGAGGGAGGCTGGCCACAGGGGCGGGGGGCGGGTTGGGGGCAGATGCAGATTCTAGCTCCTTAGCAGCAACGTCCCGTGTACAGGAGGCTGCCAGTTCCTGAGTGCTTTGTCTGCTGGCCGAGGTCACCCAGCAAGCCCCAGGGCTACCCTCCAGCCCCAGCCCTGGCGCTGCTCCTCCTGCATCTGCCCCTCTCCTGAACCTGCCCCTGCCAGATTTCACTTCCCATCGGTAGAGTGGCTTTCTGGGCCTCTGGCTTGTCGATCTCCATCTCTGGCTTGTGAGTCTCTGTCTGTGGCTTGTGAATCTGTCCTTGCCTGAGATTTCCCTCTGCTGTTGTTTCCAAGCTCTCTTGTGGGACCTTCGTCTGTGATGCTCAGTCTCCTCGCATTTGGCATCTGCACGTGGGGTGTGAGCCTCTCCAGTCCCACCCTCCGCCCCCACAGGTCTGAGCTGTGGGTCCACTCCTTTCCTCCCGACATCCTGACGTTTGTTTGTTATGGCGTCTCCTCTGAGCAGTGCTTGATTCTAAACAAACAGGGCTGCGATCGGCTCTGGGCTTCACTCATGGTCATGAGACCGTCGAGTTCCGTCTTCCCGGGGGGTGTGCCACTCTCACCTCTCCTTCCGCTTCCATCGAGTTTCTCTGCCCGAGCTCACCCAGGTTCTAGCAAGTTGGCAAAGGCCACATGTCCAGTGGCCCTGGGTGGGCCAGGAGCCTTGAAGATGGGGTCCTTGGGGGTCCTGGGTGCTGAGGAGAAGCCTGACCCTAGAGCCAGCTGCACATGGAGATCCTGGGGACCCCCATTTGGTGGCACAGACACCTGGGGCCCCTAGAGGAGGGAGATGAGATTAGGGTTTTGGAGAACTCTTTGAGGGCGCTTTGCAGTATAAAGGGGGTAAATGGGACTGGGGGTTCTGGGAGGGCTGTTGGGTGTTCCTCTAAAATGAGAGCAGAGGCAGCAAGCACCTTGGATGGGTGAGGACGGCCAGAGAGGGACAGGAAGAGGCCAGGCTGGTGTGGGCAAGGGCCTGGAGTAGACGCAGTCCCAGAGTGGGGCTCCCTGGCTCACTGGCCCTTCCCAGCCCACTGCTCAGTACCCAGTGGTCAGGTGGCCCTGTCTTTTTTTTTTTTTGGTGAGACAGGGTCTTACTCTGTTGCCCAGGCTAGAGTGAAGTGGCACACTGTAACCGCCGCCCCCCGGGTTCAAGCAATTCTCAGGCCTCAGCCTCCCAAGTAGCTGGGATTATAGGCACAAGCCACCACACCTGGCTAGTTTTTGTACTTTTAGTAGAGATGGGGTTTAACCATGTTGGCCAGGCTGGTCTCGAACTTCTAACCTCAAGCAATCCACCTGTCTTGGCCTCCCACGGTGCTGGGATTCCAGGCATGAGGCACTGCACCCAGCCAGGGTGGTCCTGTCCTAACAGCCCCTCAGGGGGACTTCTGGTGTTGCTGAGCTCATGGGACGCCCCCCCCCCCGCCCCACCCACCAAAGCCATGAGTGGAGCCAACAGCTCAGCTGCAGGGGATGCCGGAGCAGCAGGGAGGAGCGGGGATACCAGTGGGGAGGAGGCATTGAGGGGGGATTCCTGGAGGGGCATTGGGGTGGAGGGGGACTCACGTTGTTTCCTCCATGCACAGCAGGGGGCTCTTTGTAGCTGAGGGTGACCTGGGAATGGAGGAATGAAGGCCAGTGAGGGGCCTGGCCACCAGCACAGGGAGGGGGAGTGGCAGGGCTCAGAGGGAGGAGGAGAAGGCAGGGTGGGTGTGATGGCTTCCTCTTCTTTATGGGGATCCCAGGAGGGAGCAGGCAGGGCAAGGGAAGCCCAGTCTCAGAGCCATGAGTCCCAGGGTTCCTGGACAAGTCCATTAAGGCCACCAAGATAAGGGCAGGAGCTGGAGGGAGATGCTTGGGCCCAGACTGGCGTCTCCCACCACAAGGGGCTGGCCCTGGGGCCGGCGGGGGTGCGGTGGGCACTGGGTCCGTGTGTCACCACGCTGGCCAGCAAGGGCACAAAAGGGACACAGCTGCCACCGGGGCCTGGAGGGGAGGACCTGGCCGGGGGCCTGGAGAGCTAGGATTTTGCAGAAGGGTTACCGGGCTGGTTTCAGGAGTGAGGGAAGGCGGGTGGGGTCAGAACAGCAGCCACGGAGCTCCAGGGGTGACAGAAACAAACCTGGGTGAGAGCAGGCCACGGGGCATCCGCTTAAATCAGAGCAGGCCACGGAGTATTTGCATAAATCAGAGCAGGCCACGGGGCATACGCATAAATCAGCAGGCCACTGGGCATCTGCTTTTTTTTTTCTTTTTTTTGAGACAGAGTCTCACCCTTGTCACCCAGGCTGGAGTGCAGTGGCACAATATCAGCTCACTGCAACCTCCTCCTCCTGGGTTCAAGCGATTCTTCTGCCTCAGCCTCCTGAGTAGCTGGGACTACAGGCACATGCCACCATGCCCAGCTAATTTATGTATTTTTATTAGAGACGGGGTTTCACTGTGTTGACCAGGATGGTCTCGATTTCCTGACTTCATGATCCACCCACCTCAGCCTCCCAAAGTGCTGGGATTACAGGCGTGAGCCACCGCGCCCGGCCTAATTTAATTTTTTATTGGGGTAAGATGCACAAAATGTAAGCCTAATTATTTTGAAATGAGCAATTCAGTGGCATTGAGCACATCCACAGTGTGGTGCTTTGTGAATCTTTTCAGCATCTTCACAACAATATACACCTCTTCTGGTTTCAGAAAGTTTGATTGACTCAGACGAAAACCCTATACCCCTCAGAGAGTCACCCCATTCCCCTCAGCCCCAGACTCACCCACAAACCCCGTACCCCTCACACAGATGCCCCATTTCCCTCAGCCTGGACCCGGCCACCCTCATTCGCTTTCTGCCTCTGGATTTGCCACTTCTGGACAGTTCACACATATGCGGTCATGTAACATGGGGTCTTTTGTGACTTGCTTTTCACTTAGCATGACATCAAGGCTTGTCCACGTGGAAGCCTGTATGAGCTTCCTCCTTTTCCGTGGCTAACACATGAACAGAAGCAAATTGTCTCTTAGGAAAATGGGGACGCTGGTTACACATTCCCAAATCCATGTCCCATTACTCCACATTCTCAGAGCTTTGACCAGCTTACTTGGGGTTGTCACTCATGGTGGCTTGCTTCCTTGTGTGTTTTGTAAATTTTCATTGACCTCATTCAGTGAAACTTTTTCCCTCTGCTGACCTAGGGCCTGCATGTCCTGGCAAAGTGGTTAAAGAATTATTGCTTTGTTTCTGCCAACTAGTTAGAGCTACAATTCTCTAGAGCTAGAACTCAGCAGGGCTAAAGCTCAGCAGGGCTAGAACTCACGAGAGCTAGAAATCACTACAGCTAGAACTCAGCAGGGCTAGAACTCATGAGAGCTAGAACGCACTACAGCTAGAACTCAGCAGAGCTAGAGCTCAGCAGGGCTAGAGCTCACGAGAGCTAGAAATCACTACAGCTAGAACTCAGCAGAGCTAGAACTCAGCAGAGCTAGAAGTCAGCAGGGCTAGAACTCAGCAGGGCTAGAGCTCAGCAGGGCTAGAACTCAGCAGAGCTAGAAGTCAGCAGGGCTAGAACTCACCGAAGCTAGAACTCTCTAGGTCTAGATCTAACTTTTTGGAGCACCTTCAAGTTCCAGATGCGTGGGATTTACTGGCTTTGTTTAAGGGCGGCTTTCCTTTTCTTCCCTGAGTCCTGTTGGACAGACAAGCTGCCTTCTTCCCTCTCTGCCTGCACTTTCCACAAGGGGTCTCCTTTGGAGTCTCTACTTTCCAGCCTTGCCTCCCACCCCTGCAGCTGTCACACCCTCCAAGACAGTTCTGAGATCTCCTTACGCACTCACCTGCATGTGCTCCACAGCTGTTCCAGGTGTCTGTGGGGAGAGCTGTCCAGTGCTGGGTCCCGGGTGTTTCTGTGGAGAGCTGTCCAGTGCTGGGACCCAGGTGTTTGGGAAGAGCTGTCCAGTGCCGGGTCCCGGGTGTTTGGGGAGAGCTGTCCAGTGCCGGGACCTGGGTGTTTCTGTGGAGAGCTGTCCAGTGCCGGGTCCCGGGTGTTTCTGTGGAGAGCTGTCCAGTGCCAGGTCCCGGGTGTTTCTGTGGAGAGCTGTCCAGTGCCGAGTTCCGGGTGTTTCTGTGGAGAGTTGTTCAGTTCCGGGTTCCGGGTGTTTCTGTGGAGAGCTGTCCAGTGCTGGGACCCAGGTGTTTGGGAAGAGCTGTCCAGTGCCGGGTCCCGGGTGTTTGGGGAGAGCTGTCCAGTGCCAGGTCCCGGGTGTTTCTGTGGAGAGCTGTCCAGTGCTGGGACCCAGGTGTTTGGGAAGAGCTGTCCAGTGCCGGGTCCCGGGTGTTTGGGGAGAGCTGTCCAGTGCCGGGTCCCGGGTGTTTGGGGAGAGCTGTCCAGTGCCGGGTCCCGGGTGTTTGGGAAGAGCTGTCCAGTGCCGGGTCCCGGGTGTTTGGGGAGAGCTGTCCAGTGCCGGGTCCCGGGTGTTTGGGAAGAGCTGTCCAGTGCTGGGACCCAGGTGTTTGGGAAGAGCTGTCCAGTGCCGGGTCCCGGGTGTTTGGGGAGAGCTGTCCAGTGCTGGGTTCCGGGTGTTTCTGTGGAGAGCTGTCCAGTGCTGGGACCCAGGTGTTTGGGAAGAGCTGTCCAGTGCTGGGACCCAGGTGTTTGGGAAGAGCTGTCCAGTGCCGGGTCCCGGGTGTTTGGGGAGAGCTGTCCAGTGCCGGGTCCCGGGTGTTTGGGAAGAGCTGTCCAGTGCTGGGACCCAGGTGTTTGGGAAGAGCTGTCCAGTGCCGGGTCCCGGGTGTTTGGGGAGAGCTGTCCAGTGCTGGGTTCCGGGTGTTTCTGTGGAGAGCTGTCCAGTGCTGGGACCCAGGTGTTTGGGAAGAGCTGTCCAGTGCCGGGTCCCGGGTGTTTGGGGAGAGCTGTCCAGTGCTGGGTCCCGGGTGTTTGGGAAGAGCTGTCCAGTGCTGGGACCCAGGTGTTTGGGAAGAGCTGTCCAGTGCCGGGTCCCGGGTGTTTGGGGAGAGCTGTCCAGTGCTGGGTTCCGGGTGTTTCTGTGGAGAGCTGTCCAGTGCTGGGACCCAGGTGTTTGGGAAGAGCTGTCCAGTGCCGGGTCCCGGGTGTTTGGGGAGAGCTGTCCAGTGCTGGGTTCCGGGTGTTTCTGTGGAGAGCTGTCCAGTGCCGGGTCCCGGGTGTTTGGGGAGAGCTGTCCAGTGCTGGGTTCCGGGTGTTTCTGTGGAGAGCTGTCCAGTGCCGGGTCCCAGGTGTTTGGGAGAGCTGTCCAGTGCCAGGTCCCGGGTGTTTGGGGAGAGCTGTCCAGTGCCGGGTCCCAGGTGTTTCTGTGGAGAGCTGTCCAGTGCCAGGTTCCGGGTGTTTCTGTGGAGACCTGTTCAGTGCCGAGTTCCGGGTGTTTCTGTGGAGAGCTGTCCAGTGCCGGGTTCTGGGTGTTTGGGAAGAGCTGTCCAGTGCCGGGTCCCGGGTGTTTGGGGAGAGCTGTCCAGTGCCAGGTCCCGGGTGTTTCTGTGGAGAGCTGTCCAGTGCCAGGTTCCGGGTGTTTCTGTGGAGACCTGTTCAGTGCCGAGTTCCGGGTGTTTCTGTGGAGAGCTGTCCAGTGCCGGGTTCTGGGTGTTTGGGAAGAGCTGTCCAGTGCCGGGACCTGGGTGTTTGGGGAGAGCTGTCCAGTGCCAGGTCCCGGGTGTTTCTGTGGAGAGCTGTCCAGTGCCAGGTTCCGGGTGTTTCTGTGGAGACCTGTTCAGTGCCGAGTTCCGGGTGTTTCTGTGGAGAGCTGTCCAGTGCGGGGTTCTGGGTGTTTGGGGAGAGCTGTCCAGTGCCGGGACCTGGGTGTTTCTGTGGAGAGCTGTCCAGTGCCGGGACCTGGGTTTTTGGGGAGAGCTGTCCAGTGCCAGGTCCCGGGTGTTTGGGGAGAGCTGTCCAGTGCCGGGTCCCAGGTGTTTGGGAGAGCTGTCCAGTGCCGGGTTCTGGGGGTTTGGGGAGAGCTGTCCAGTGCCGGGTACCGGGTGTTTCTGTGGAGAGCTGTCCAGTACCGGGTTCTGGGGGTTTCTGGGGAGAACTGTCCAGTGCCGGGTTCTGGGTGTTTGGGGAGAGCTGTCCAGTGCTGGGTACCGGGTGTTTCTGTGGAGAGCTGTCCAGTACCGGGTTCTGGGGGTTTCTGGGGAGAACTGTCCAGTGCCGGGTTCTGGGGGTTTCTGGGGAGACCTGTCCAGTTCCGGGTTCTGGGTGTTTCTGTGGAGACCTGTCCAGTGCCGGGTTCTGGGGGTTTCTGTGGAGAGCTGTCCAGTGCCGGGTTCTGGGGGTTTCTGTGGAGAGCTGTCCAGTGCCGGGTTCTGGGGGTTTCTGGGGAGAGCTGTCCAGTGCCGGGTTCTGGGGGTTTCTGGGGAGAGCTGTCCAGTGCCGGGTTCTGGGGGTTTCTGGGGAGAGCTGTCCAGTGCCGGGTTCTGGGTGTTTGGGGAGAGCTGTCCAGTGCCGGGTTCTGGGGGTTTCTGGGGAGAGCTGTCCAGTGCCGGGTTCTGGGGGTTTCTGGGGAGAGCTGTCCAGTGCCGGGTTCTGGGGGTTTCTGGGGAGAGCTGTCCAGTGCCGGGTTCTGGGGGTTTCTGGGGAGAGCTGTCCAGTGCCGGGTTCTGGGGGTTTCTGGGGAGAGCTGTCCAGTGCCGGGTTCTGGGGGTTTCTGGGGAGAGCTGTCCAGTGCCGGGTTCTGGGGGTTTCTGGGGAGAGCTGTCCAGTGCCGGGTTCTGGGTGTTTGGGGAGAGCTGTCCAGTGCCGGGTTCTGGGGGTTTGGGGAGACCTGTCCAGTGCCGGGTTCTGGGGGTTTGGGGAGACCTGTCCAGTGCCGGGTTCTGGGGGTTTGGGGAGAGCTGTCCAGTGCCGGGTTCTGGGTGTTTGGGGAGAGCTGTCCAGTGCCGGGTTCTGGGTGTTTGGGGAGAGCTGTCCAGTGCCGGGTTCTGGGGGTTTGGGGAGACCTGTCCAGTGCCGGGTTCTGGGGGTTTGGGGAGACCTGTCCAGTGCCGGGTTCTGGGGGTTTCTGGGGAGAGCTGTCCAGTGCCGGGTTCTGGGTGTTTGGGGAGAGCTGTCCAGTGCCGGGTTCTGGGGGTTTCTGTGGAGAGCTGTCCAGTGCCGGGTCCCAGGTGTTTGGGCAGAGCTGTCCAGTGCCGGGTCCCGGGTGTTTGGGCAGAGCTGTCCAGTGCCGGGTCCCGGGTGTTTCTGTGGAGAGCTGTCCAGTGCCGGGTCCCAGGTGTTTGGGCAGAGCTGTCCAGTGCCGGGTCCCGGGTGTTTCTGTGGAGAGCTGTCCAGTGCCGGGTCCCAGGTGTTTGGGCAGAGCTGTCCAGTGCCGGGTCCCAGGTGTTTGGGCAGAGCTGTCCAGTGCCGGGTCCCGGGTGTTTCTGTGGAGAGCTGTCCAGTGCCGGGTCCCAGGTGTTTGGGCAGAGCTGTCCAGTGCCGGGTCCCAGGTGTTTGGGCAGAGCTGTCCAGTGCCGGGTCCCGGGTGTTTCTGTGGAGAGCTGTCCAGTGCCGGGTCCCAGGTGTTTGGGCAGAGCTGTCCAGTGCCGGGTCCCGGGTGGTTCTGTGGAGAGCTGTCCAGTGCCGGGTCCCAGGTGTTTGGGCAGAGCTGTCCAGTGCCGGGTCCCGGGTGTTTCTGTGGAGAGCTGTCCAGTGCCGGGTCCCAGGTGTTTGGGCAGAGCTGTCCAGTGCCGGGTCCCAGGTGTTTCTGTGGAGAGCTGTCCAGTGCCGGGTGCCGGGTCCCAGGTGTTTGGGCAGAGCTGTCCAGTGCCGGGTCCCGGGTGTTTCTGTGGAGAGCTGTCCAGTGCCGGGTCCCAGGTGTTTGGGCAGAGCTGTCCAGTGCCGGGTCCCGGGTGTTTCTGTGGAGAGCTGTCCAGTGCCGGGTCCCAGGTGTTTGGGCAGAGCTGTCCAGTGCCGGGTCCCGGGTGTTTCTGTGGAGAGCTGTCCAGTGCCGGGTCCCAGGTGTTTGGGCAGAGCTGTCCAGTGCCGGGTCCCGGGTGTTTCTGTGGAGAGCTGTCCAGTGCCGGGTCCCAGGTGTTTGGGCAGAGCTGTCCAGTGCCGGGTCCCAGGTGTTTGGGCAGAGCTGTCCAGTGCCGGGTCCCAGGTGTTTGGGCAGAGCTGTCCAGTGCCGGGTCCCGGGTGTTTCTGTGGAGAGCTGTCCAGTGCCGGGTCCCAGGTGTTTGGGCAGAGCTGTCCAGTGCCGGGTCCCGGGTGTTTCTGTGGAGAGCTGTCCAGTGCCGGGTCCCAGGTGTTTGGGCAGAGCTGTCCAGTGCCGGGTCCCAGGTGTTTGGGGAGAGCTGTCCAGTGCCGGGTCCCAGGTGTTTGGGGAGAGCTGTACAGTGCCGGCTTCCAGAATCTGCCTTTTGTTTCAGTAAGCTTGCAAAGACCCCGGTGCACAGTGCATTCAAAGCTGCGTTGCAGCCTGGGGATGTGGCTCCTGGTGTATTCAAAGCTGCGTCGCAGCCTGGGGATGTGGCTCCTGGTGCATTCAAAGGTTCGTCGCAGCCTCGGGATGTGGCTTCTGGAGCTCCATGGAGGGCACCATCCACATCGCCAGGGCCAGAGCAGCACGGCCCACACTCCCAGCCTGCAGCCTGCCCCAGCTCTGGGGGTGTCCTCTGGCCAGTGCTGGCAGCTGGAAACTCACCCTCTTGCCCACCTGCATGGCTGTCATCTGCTGCGCCCTGTCCCGAGTGCTGAGCTGCGAACCCGTCCAGCCCTTTAGTGCCTATGATTCCGCCTGCGGAACCGTCCATAAGTAGTGGCTGGGCTTGAAGTGAATCACAGCTGACTCACTTGCTGCTGTCCCCAGAGGACTGCGCCGCTGAGGCTGCCATGCAGCAGCGAGGGCCAACTTGCTTTAGAATCTTCCAGAAGCCAGAGACCAAAACCGATGCTTTGCTTCTCTTCTTCCACCTCTTACCCATTTCTGAATCTTCTGCATGTCAGGGATATAAAAGCGAATAAAAGGTGCTTTTCAGTGTGAGTATTGGTTCTTGCCTCTCGGTTTCTTTTGCCTGCTGAGGGCAGGCCTGGCCCGTGTCCTGCCGGCGCTGCAGGTGAAGTGACTTATGAACCTGTCACCTGTTGCTTGGGCTGTGGCCGCCTCACAGCTCAGCCTTCTGCCTGCCTGGAGAACAGGCCCTCTGGCTTTGTGGGATGACTAGTTCGGACAATGACCGCCGCCCCTGGTGGCCTGGGAGGCAGTGGACCAGAATGGAATCCTGGCAGCATGAAGTCACAGAGGTGCGGATGGCGGCTGAATGGCCACAGTTACCTTCTGAATGGATTAAAAATTTAAAACCTCTGTGCGGTGGGGAGGCCTTGCCAGGAGGCTTTGAGTGCAAGACAAAGTGACAATGTTGTTTTGTGTCTCCACAGCTCCAGGAAGAAGCCTGGCGGGGGTTTGCTGCCCTGGACGACCCCCTGGCCGGGCTTCTGGACATGCTGGAGAGCAGCCGGGGCTGGCGGGGAAAGGGCCCCTCCCTGGAGGCCTGGATCTCCCACCAGCTGCAGTGCTGGCTACGGGCACAGCCACGCCCTGGCCCAGCCCAGGTGTGCCCGTGGGCTCTATGACCCTTCTGCCCCAGCCCTCAGCACAGTGGACCTGGCACCCTCCTGCCCAGGCCTCTGCAGCCCACTGAGCAAGCCAGGGAAGGGCAAGGGGAAGAGCCGGGGAAGGGCAGAGGGGTGCTGGGGGCTGTGGTCAAGGCCCAGGCTGTGGGCTTCACCCTCAGCCCCCTGACAACCACATGCTGAGACCGGTCTCACCCCTCCCATGCCCCAGCCCTGCAGCCGCCCGAGGCCCGCACACAGCCACAGTAACAGATGCTGCCTCCCTGGGACAGGCCTGCCCCAGCCAGCCCCATGGCTCAGCCCCTAGGTATTTCGTCCAGTAAGGCTGGGTCTCGGCTCTTCCAGCACAGCCCGAGGCTGGAGCAGCTGCAGGCCCGAGCAGTCAGGGTCCTCACCGAGAGCCCCTCCAGCCTTGCAGCGCCACTCGCCAGCATCTTCCAGCTACAGGATGCAGACCAGAGCTGCCTGCTGGAGCACGTCCACCGCCTCTACCACGAGGGCAGGTTCAGAGAAGTGAGTGGCCCATGGGGAAAGGGTTTCTCGGGCGGCGGGGCAGGGATGCGCTTGGCTTAGGGCCGCCTGCATGATGGAGGCTGTGTGGGGCTTCTGGTCTGCATGGAGGAATCAAGGACCTGGCAGTGGGAAGCCCATCAGCTGTGCGTGGGGTGCAGGGTCCCAGGAGCCCTCAGGCTGCCTGAGCCGACAGGAATGTCAGAGCATAGCCAGTCTCAGGCCTGGTCTCCCCCACCGACTCCTGGCACCCATGAGTCCTTTCCTCCCAACTCCTGGCTCCCATTGGGTCCCCAAACTCACAGGGTCCTAGGTGGGCCTGGCCCTGAGCTTTGGTCCAGCCACGCCCACCATGCCAATGAGTCTCTGCACCCGAGAATCCTACACAGAACCATGCAGGCGGCTGCCCTTTGTGGGTGTTTGTTCGTCTGCTGAGCCTCTTGGGCACTGGGTGCTCTCTGCGTTCCCCGGAAGGAAACACTCCTGGGAAAGGCTGAGCAGAGGGGCTGTGGGAGCAGCTGGTGCCAACCCTGCCGCCCACAGCACCCCGAGTGGGGCCCACTCACAAGGCACAATGTGGACACGGGACGAGGCTCAGGGCCAGGGTATCAGTCGTGCCCGACACAGTGGACCAGGTGTGAAATGTGTCTGCTCAGCATCCAGCCCCTTGTCGGCTGCTGTCAGGAGAGGCGACTTTGCTCCCTTGTGGTCTTAGGGGGTCAGGTCTTAGTCATGTGGCAGAAGTGTGGGTTTGGAGCTGCAGGTGTCTGGATAAGAACTGGTGGAATGTTAGGGTTCATGGAGGTTTGCTGAGCTTCCTTTGTGAGCAATGCTGACTCGTAAGCCAAGATTCCAAGAGGAAGACCAGGCCCTGGAGTCACAGCCACCACCCTCCAAGCCTGGCCAGCTGGACTTGGGTTTGTGGGGAGCAGTGGGGAGTGGTGGGGCCTGCAGTGAGTAGGGAGGTGACCATCTTGCCTGGGGTGGCTCTGAGCTGTTCCTGTAGCTGCAGGGGGCCCCTGTGAATTCTCAGTGCCCTGAGATTGCAGATCCCAGCGCACATTCCAGGGTGCAGCAGGAGGTGCAGCAAAAACGGCCGGCAGTGCCCTGCCCGATGGTGTCCTGCCCAGGGGTGCCCTTCCTGGGGGTGTCCTTCCCAGGGGTGTCCTGCCGAGGGGTGCCCTGCCAGGGGTGTCCTGCCTGGGGGTGTCCTACCCGGGGGTGTCCTGCCTGGGGGCTGTCCTTCCTGGGGGTGTCCTGCCCGGAGGCGCCCTTCCTTGGGGTGTCCTGCCCGGGGGCTGTCTTTCCTTGGGGCATCCTGCCCGGGGGTGCCCTTCCTTGGGGTGCCCTGCCTGGGGGTGCCCTCCCTGGGGGTGTCCTGCCAGGGCGTGTCCTGCCTGGGGGTGCCCTGCCCAGGGGTGTCCTGCCCGGGGGTGCCCTGCCTGGGGCCATCCTTCCTGGGGGTGTCCTGCCCAGGGGTGCCCTGCCTGGGGCCATCCTTCCTGGGGGTGTCCTGCCCGGGGGTGCCCTTCCTTGGGGTGTCCTGCCTGGGGGTGCCCTGCCTGGGTGTGTCCTGCCCCTGGGTGCCCTGCCTGGTGGTGCTCAGCCTGGGGGCACTCAGCATGGGGGTGCCCTGCCCGGGGGTGACCTGTCCAGGGGTTGCTGAGTCCAGGGGTGCTTGGTTCAGGGTACATTGATCATGTATAAGGAGGCCGGCATTCGGGGGTATCAGTCTGCACCCCGCCTTGTCAGGGCCCTTACTTCAGGGGCGTGCTGCTGAAACTCAGGGCTCTGCATGGGGGCAGAGGCTGTCACAATGGCACCCTGGGTTCCTCTTTCCAGTGAGACCCCCCTCGGCCATGAGGAGCTGCATTGGAACCTGGGTGCAGGTATCGGGGCTGCCTGGCTGGGCCCTCAGAAGAGTGAGCCAAGTGTCAGCTGCACCGCGCCCCACCCCCACACTGTTGCCGGCCTCTTACGGCTGGTGCATGGCGCTGAGAAGCCACGATGGCTGGCACGGGACAATGCAGGACGGAGGGTCCGCTCACGTGGCGCGAGGCTGAATGGCGGCCGGGCCTGCGGAGAGTGCAGGGAGGCAGAAGGCAGGCTAGTGTTTCCCCGTCTTCTGTTACAGCGCCTTTCAAAGACTGTCTGGGGCCGGCTGAATGCGCCTCCCTCACGCTCCGAGGCAGGAATCCCCACACAAAGGGGGTCTTGTCCCGCACAGGCCCCTTCTGCGAAGAAAGCCATTGTCCCAAGCGGGGCCGCCCGGCAGGCGATACATGCTCCACTGCCCACCGCCGCGCCTGGCCGAAAGGGGCCGCATTCAGGCCTGTCCGCTCGGATTAGCTGGGACTCAGCACTCAGTGTGCTGCGATATTTCATGTCGAGGGCAGCGGCTGGCTCTGGGCAGGATGAATGCCTGCTTTTGTCTGCTGAGTTATTTTATTTACATTTTTTAAACAGCTTATCAAGGTAAAAAGATAGCTTTGCTTTAAAAAAAAAAAAAAAGGCTGTCTTGGCTCCAGGCCCACGCAGAGGTGGGAGGCAGGGCCATCACTGGGTTCCTCGGCCACTAAACCTGGCACCTGTCAGGCTTCCTGCCCCTCCAAGTGGGGGCCCAGGTGAGCCGGGGAATGCCCTTCCCGATGGTAAGCACCGCAGCCCCTCTGGATTTTCTTGTTCTTTTTTTTTTTCCCTGAAAGCCGTGGCTCCTGGGCCTGTGTGGCCAGAGGTTTCTGCAGCCCCACCCCAGCCCCCAGCTGGGCGGCCTCGTCTCTCTCTTGCAAGTGGGTGCCTCCCATCCTCCAGGCAGCTGAGATCAGGAAGTGCCACCTGGTGCAGGGTGGGCCCAGCATGCCCATCTGTCCTCACGGCCCAGCCCCCAGCTCATTCCTCCCCTGAGGTCCCCGACTCTTCACCTTCTGCTGTCTGCTCCCTGGGCCTGGCTCTGGGGCCAGGTGAACTTTTTGTGCCTGCTGAGTTTCCCAAGTGGCCAGGCATGGGCAGTGGGCCGCTGCACATCATTCTCCCAGGGAGATTTAGACAGAAATGACCAGACACTGATTCTAAGCCAGGCATGATCACAGTGAAAGGGCCATGCGGGAGCCCCAGAGCCTGAGATGGGGGCCAGGCCAGGGAGCTTCCTGGAGGGGTTGGTCTGCTACCTGCCATCCCCCAGTCCCCATCCCCATCACCATCACCAAGACCACCCATGGAAGCCAGGCACTGCCCTTGTCATGGTGGAGCTGAGGGAACGCTATCCTTGTTCTGTCCCCTGAGCTGCTAGGCCCCGAGCCCCCACCAGGCTCCAGGTACAAAATGTGGACATAGGGGCTGGGGGCCCCAGGACCCCTGCATGTCCAGAAAGCCCCCCTGGCCACAATAGGCCCTGGGCGCCTAGAGAGTTCCTGCAGGCCAGACACTTGATTGCCCTGGGCTCTGAATGGCTGTGGAGAAGAGAAGGTTTCAGCTATGTACCTTGAACCCCCTGTGACAGGGTTGCAAGGTAGCCGGGGACACAGGGTAGCCCCCGGGGTCGCAGCCTGCGGGACAGGGAGGCCGAGCTGCCCACCTGGGGAGCACTGCTGTACCCAGCCCCGCCCAGGTTCCTCCCCAAACCTGAGGCCTTCTAGGGCTCAGAAGAGTCATGTATGGGGGGGTACCCACTGAGGGCTAGGGCCTGGAGCCTGAAGTCTGTCCTCAGAGGAAGGCCGGGTACAGCAGCAGTGAGGGGACACCCTGGCCACCTGCCCTGGCTGGGCACTCAGCCCCCCCCGCCCACCTGCTGAGGGCCTGGTCCTAAGGACATGATGGGTGCAGCCCCATCCTCCACCCCCTGCACCTGACAGTGTCCACATGGGGTGGGAGGAGCAGAGGGAGGGGGAGTCGTGACCACCCCATGGTTCTGAATGCGGTAAGGTGTCCGGGCCTGCACTCCCAGCTTCCTGAGCTCTGGCAGCTTCTCAAGGGTATCCCTGATCCAGAAGGGGTCAGGGCCCTTGTATGAAGCCGCGGGTGTCACTGCTGGGGTGGTCCTCGCGTGGAGGCCCCTGCGCTCAGCCCTATGCCCACCTCCCGGGCCCGGCGCCCCTCCCTACGGCCCCTCAGCCATGAGACCCCGCCCCGGGCCCCTGCGCTCCTCCCCTCAGCCCTGAGGCCCCGCCCCAGCTCTTCGTTCCTCTCCTCAGCCCTGAGACTCCACCCCGGCCCTGTGCCCCTCCCTACAGACCTGAGATCCCTGCCCCGGGCCCTGCGCTCCTCCCTACGGCCCTGAGATACCCAGCCCCCTTCTCCCCAGGCCCTGCGACCCTATCCGCAGCCCTGTGCCCCTCCCCAAGGGCCTGAGACTTCCTCCCCAGGCTCTGCGCCCCTCCCCATGGCCCTGAGACCCCAGCCCCAGGCCCTGCACCCTGCGGGCCTGGTGGAGGCCTAGCCTCTTGGACGCCGGCCAGCCAGTGGAGGCACCGGGTCAGCGCTGCGCAGGCAAAGGCTCCCGGACCTGCGCCCCCACCCCGCACACGGGGGCTGGAAGCCGGAGCCGAGGCTTTCCCAGGCCGCTATTTTGGTCCTTTCTCTGGGCTGCGCGGGGGCGGGGCGCCGATGCTCCGCGGGCTGCCCTCGCGGGTCATTTTTGCTGGTTATGGGAGCGCGTCTTATGGAAATTATTAATAGCAGCTCAGGACCGCAGTACGTGCGGGTGGTCAGGGCCCTCCGTGCCCGAGCGCAACAATGTGGCCTGGGAGCGCTCACGGGGTGCCCGTCTACCGCCTCGTGGGAACAGCTAGGACCCCCCTCCCCCCAGGCGTCAGGGTGTGCTGAGACCCTGCCCTGAGGTCCTCAGCCCTGGCCCAAGCATTTGAGTCACGTAGGAGGCCACCTCCTTGCCCTCCGTGGGTTCATCAGCAAGCCCTGGGCAAGGCCCTATGGACCAGGCTGTGTGGCCCGCACCTCATAAGTCCCTGCTGCCCCATTTAGGCCAAGCCTGGGCCTCCTGTCTGTTCCAGCTCATGTAAGGCCGGGCTCAGCGGGACTCAGCACAGGGGGGATTGTCTGCCAGGTCAGGCCCCTCAGCCTGAGGGCCACGTGGGTGGACACGGGGAGGTTTACAGTCTGCTGCGCCGTGCAGAAGGGTGGTGGCCCCTCCCAGGCCCTGAGTAATCTGTGCCTTTGTGTTTGCCAGGCAGTCATGCTGGGCACGAAGTTGAAGCTGCAGCCAGAACTTGATGTTGAAAAGGTGAACGTCTTTCTCATGTAAATCGTTCAGGTTCAAACTTGGATAATGCCCAGGTCTCCGGAAATAGTGTTGGTGGAGGTGGGGAGTCCAGCAAGCCTCAGGGAAGGGAAAGCAGGGCCACCGGGAGCCCCCAGACCAGTCCTCCTGGTGGGCTGACCCCAGCCAGGCGCAGCCACATGTCCAGGCACCCTGTGTCCAGCGGTCCTTGTAAGCCCTGAGTGCTCTGTGCAGCAGCCAGGCCACCCCTTCCCTGGAGTGGGCACCAGGTGCCTCTCAGGATATGCAGCCCACATGCTTCTGGGACCCTCTTCTGCTCCTTGTCTCCACTGCACAGGGGGCTGGGGGAGCAGTCAACTGTCTAACGGAATTTCCGGACAAGCTTCCACACTGGGACTCTGTCCCCACCACAGGGATGCAGGTGGAACTGGGGCAGGGCCAGGTGGGGACAGGATGTATCCTGGTCTCCCTAAAGAGGGAGGGGTATCCACACCACAAAGGCCTCGGCCCTGTGCTCCGGGGATTGGTGCAGACTCTAGGTTTGCAAGAGCTGGGGCCAGAGAGGATTCTTGGGCTTTGCCTTCTGCCCGAGAACTGTCCCTGAGGGTACCACCCTGTAGGTGGGCCCCACGCAGTCTGGCTCCAGGCAGCCTCACCTGTGAGGCGGAGGAGGTAGGGAAGGGAGGTAAGGAGCCTTCTTTGAGGGGCTTTGTCTAAGGGACCTGGTTCTTGTTGAGGGAATGGCTGGTGTATCCCAAGGTCCGGCACCATAGCCAGGGAGCCCCCTACCCCCACGGCCTCCTGGAGGCACCGACAGCGTGTGGGGCTTGAGGGCCACTTGGGGGCAGTGCTGGTGTCACGTGCTTGGTTTGTCTCAGTCCCACCTCCCCATATTTGGTGACAAATGAGCTTCCCAGGGTCCCCCTTGCCTCTTAGGGCCTCCAGGCCTTCATGGAGATGGCGGTGGCCACAGAACCTACCAGAAGCCTGGGGTGGGTGTGTGTGAGCACGAGGGCAGGCCGGGCAAGCACTGCTGGGCCTGGACAGCCTCTGGGCCCCTTTAGTTCTGACACTGCGGCCGCTAACTCTGGGTTGGTTGGAGGTGAGTGTGGGGTTTTGGCCGAGGTGGCGGAGACTGTGACCTAACCGTGCATCCCCCTGGCAGATGAGTATCCCACTGCTCCTCCAGGACAAGGTGGCCCTCGTGGAGCGCTATGTGGCCGGCTTCCCGGACCTCCAGAGGAGGCTGCTGGCCCTCATGGACTCCTGGTGCCAGCCCGGCTTTGACATCAAGGATGTTGTCAGGTAAGTCCCATGGACGCTAGCAGCTGGCACCAGATGGCACCCTGGTTGACGAGGGAGCATGGCTGCAGGCACGTGGGAGAGCTCTCCCAGGCAGTTCTGATGTTTGGAACACAGCTGCCATGTGACTGCAGCCAGAACGGCTGCCTCTGGAGAGGAGAGGCTGGGGCTGGCAGGAGCTCTGCTCTCTTCTCCCAAGGGAAAGAGTTACCTGTTCTTAGAAAGACTGAAATAGGGCCGGGTGCGGTGGCTCACGCCTGTAATCCCAGCACTTTGGGAGGCCGAGGCGGGTGGATTACGAGGTTGACAGATGGAGACCATCCTGGTCAACATGGTGAAACCCCGTCTCTACTAAAATTACAAAAAATTAGCTGGGCATGGTGGCATGTGCCTGTAATGCCAGCTACTCAGCAGGCTGAAGCAGGAGAATTGCCTGAACCCAGGAGGTGGAGGTTGCAGTGAGCCGAGATCATGCCATTGCACTCCAGCCTGGGTAACAAGGGTGGAACTCTGTCTCAATTAAAAAAAAAAAAAAGAAAGAAACAATTCTCTGTGGTGGTTCCTCATACACAGGCATGGCGTCCATACTGCTTATCTGCCCATTCATTTGTTTGTTCTTTCATCTAATAAAGTTTTCCAAAGGCGCCTGGGCCCATCCACCGGGAGGCAGACCCCAGCCTCTGTCCTCACACAACCCCCTTATTGGAGAGTCAGGGACTTGGACTTGGATATCAGGTCTCCCTGGACCATCCTCCTCCACTTCTCCTCCCTTGGTTCAAAGGGCAAGTCACTTCCACTTTCTGAGTTTGTTTCCTCATTCGCACAATGGGGCTGAGTCCACCTGACTCAAAGCATCGCCAAGACTTTTTATCACAGGGAACAGGCAGGGCACACACAGCACCAGGCCAGGCACAGGTGAGCGCCATCGAGCCTATTATATTTAAAAAAGACATAGAACAGAACAGTGAATGCATTGATGGAGGTGGGAACCAGAGGTCTCATTGTGAAGGAAAGAAATATACGGCCAGGCATGGTGGCTCACACTGGTAATCCCAGCACTTTGGGAGACCAAGGCCGGTGGATCACCTGAGGTTGGTAGTTCGAGACCAGCCTGGCCAACGTGGAAAAACCCTGTCTCTATTAAAAATACAAAAATTAATGATTTTAAGATGGGCGAAGGGGCTGGGCATAGTGGCTCATGCCTGAAATCCCAACACCTTGGGAGGCCAGGACGGGTGGACCACTTGAGCCCAGGAGGGATTGCACCACCGCACTCCAGGGACAGAGTTAGACTCCATCAGAAAACAAAAAAAGATAAAGACGTTTCTTTCTATGCTTGGCTTGTTGAACATTTTTATCAGGAATGTATGCTGGAATTTATAAAACTAGCTTTTCTGTTGAGATGAACACGTGGTTTTTCTTTTTTAATCAGTCACTGTGAGGCATTACACCGTTTAGTGTTTCTGTGAAAAACCAACCTTGCATTTTGGGATGGACTCTACTTGGTCATTATGTGTTATCTCCCATCCAAGTACTAACCAGGCCCGACCCTGCTTTGCTTCCGAGATCTGATGAGATTGGGCACGTTCAGGACATTATGTGTTATCTTTTGGGAACCCAGATGGTATCAGTAGTGAAAGATATTTGCTTTCATTTTGTTAGGAATGTTTGCATCCATCTCCATGAGGAATATTGGTCTCTCGTTGTCTTTTCTTGTAATATATGTTTGCTTTTATTTGTAATATATGTTACTTTGGTAGCAGAAAAATGCTTGCCTTATAGAATGAGTTTGGAATTATTCCCTTGCCTTTCAATCTTCTGGAAAAACTGTGTGTAGTTGGTATAACTTTTTCTTTTTCTTTTTCTTTTTTTTTTTTTTTTTTTTGAGATGGAGTTTCGCTCTTGTTACCCAGGCTGGAATGCAATGGCGCGATCTCGGTTCACCGCAACCTCCGCCTCCTGGGTTCAGGCAATTCTCCTGCCTCAGCCTCCTGAGTAGCTGGGATTACAGGCACACGCCACCATGCCCAGCTAATTTTTTATATTTTTAGTAGAGATGGGGTTTCACCGTGTTGACCAGGATGGTCTTGATCTCTTGATCCACCCGCCTCAGCCTCCCAAAGTGCTGGGATTACAGGCTTGAGCCACCGCGCCCAGCCCTTTTTCTTTTTTTTTTTTTTTTTTAATGAAGTCTCACTTTGTTGCCCAGGCTGGTGCGATCTCAGCTCTCTGCAGCCTCCACCTCCTGGATCCAAACAATTCCCTGCCTCAGCCACCTGAGAAGCTGGGATTACAGGTACGCACCACACCGTGCCTGGTTACTTTTTGTATTTTTAGTGGAGACGGAATTTCAGCATCTTGGCCAGGCTGGTCTTAAACTCTTGGCCTCAATTGATCCACCTGCCTTGGCATCCCAAAGTGCTGGGATTACAGGCACTAGCCACTTCGCCTGGCCAGTTGGTATTACTTCTAACTGAAAATCCATTTCCTTTAAAAAAGGGCTATTTGGGTTGCCTGTGACTTTTTGAATGAGCTTTGCCTGTTCGTGCCTTTCAAGGAATTTGCTCATTTTATCCAAGTTGTCAAACTTTATGGTTAAAGTTGTTGGTAACATTCTGCCGTCATCTTTGCATTGTCTGTGGTGTCTGCAGTGCTGTCAGCGCTCTCCTGCCCAGTACGGGGCATCTGTGTCTCGTTGTCATGCAGTAATTCTCTGACATGTCATTTGCAGCTCAGTTTCTGCTCATCACAGTGTGCCTCATATTTCTACTTCTCTGCAGGCCTCGTAATTTTTTATTGGATTACAGATATTTTGAATTTTACCTTCAGGGTGTGTGACATTTTTGGTTTTCTAAAAATATTCTTTTTTTCTTATTTTTTTCTGAGACAGAGTCTTACTCTGTCGTCCAGGCTAGAGTGTAGCAGCGTGATCTCGGCTCACTGCACCCTCTGCCTCCTGGGTTCAAGTGATTCTCCTGCCTCAGCCTCCTGAGTAGCTGGGATTATAGGTGCCAGCCACCACACCTGGCTAATTTTTGTTTAGAATTTTTAGTAGAGACAGGGTTTTTAGTAGAGACAGGGTTTCACCATGTTGCTCAGGCTGGTCTCGAACTCCTGACCTCAAGTGATCCGGCTCTCCTCGGCCTCCCAAAGTGCTGGGATTGCAGGGATGAGCCACAGCACCCAGCCTCTAAAAATACTATTGGTCATTGTTCTTGAATACGTTTAAGTTACCTGGAAACGGTGTAATTTTTTCGGATCTTTCTTTTAAGCTTCATTTGGTATGATCAGAGCAATGTTTAATCTAAGGCCAACTTCCCCCCATTTCTGAGGCAAGAACCTTCTTAGTGCTGTAGGTAATGCCCTGCCAACTAGGAAGCATTTTAAACGCTGGGTCTTGGGAGCAGCTCTTCGTCAGGCTTGAAAACTTCTCCTTGTAGTCTGTTCGGGTGGCTCCTCCTCCACTTTGCGTGACTTCCTCACATGTAGGGTGCTCTTTTCTTGGGCGAATTCTCAAGGGTGCTCCCCGCAGAGCTCCACAGCTCTTTCCCTGGGCATTTCCTCCCTGCAAACTCAGGGTGGCACCCGGATGTCTCCTGGGCTCCTCTTCCCCTGCATGCTGCTGGAATGTTTCTCCAGGAGGGAAGACGGAGCGATAGGCAGCCTCCCTTCCCATCACTCGGGCATCCCTGCCCTGAGCCACCTGCTGCCTAATGTCCAAGAGCCCCATTTCCGTTCAATACTGTACCGAGGACCCGCACCAGGGCGGGAGGTGGAATAAGTACAAAGACACAACAGTCGTTTTTTCAGAAGATATGTTTTTCTACATAGGGAAGAAAAACAAAAAAATCTACAGATAAATTATTATAATTAATAAGTAAATTTAGCAAGATCACTGGTTACAAAGTAAGTTTATAAAAGCCAATTGTATTTCTTTATACTTGTAATAAAGCTTTCTCAAATAGGATATAAAATCGCTAAGAATAAAGGCTGGGTGCGGTGGCTCACGCCTGTAATCCCAGCACTTTAGGCGGTTGAGGCAGGTAGATCACTTGACGTCAGGGGTTCGAGATCAGCCTGGCCAACATGGTGAAACTATGTCTCTACTAAAAATACAAAAATTAGCCAGGTGTGGTGGCATGTGCCAATAGTCCCAGCTACTCGGGAGGCTGAGGCAGGAAAATCACTTGAATTCAGGAGGCGGAAGTTGCAGTAAACCGAGATTGCGCCACTGCACTCCAGCCTGGGCAAGAGAGTGAGACTCCATCTCAAAAAAAAAAAGGGTAACGTGAGAGACTGACAAATTTGACTTAATATCTTCTGGACATCAAAGGACATCATTGAGAGAGTGATAAGCCAACTTACAGACCAAGAGATTATTTACAGTACATATCTTGCAAAAGACTGTATCCAGAATATTTCAAACAAAAAGCCTACAAAGAAAACAATCAAAGACAAACCAATTTTTAAATGAGCAAAAGATTTGAATAAGCACTTCACAAAAGACGATTCCAGATAGCCAATAAATGTAGGAAAAGTTTCTAAGCAGCAGTAATATCAGAGAAATGCAAATTAAGCCACAAAGAAATACCGCTACCTCCCATCAGAAAGGCTAAAATTTAAAAGTCGAAAATACCAAGTGTTGGCAAGGACATGGAGCAACCAGAATGCTCACACACTGCTGGTGGGATGTGTACTGGTGCAGTCACTTCAGAAAACCATTTAGCAGTTTCTGCTAAAGCAAAAACAGTATGCCAACCCTATGACTTCCATTGCCCAAGTCCACTTAGCATATGCCCAAGAGAAATGGCCTCATTGTCCACAGAGGGGCACAGCCTCTCTCATATCTCCAAAACCTCAGAGCAGCCCTAGTCCCAAGAGCAGCGGAGTGGGTGCAGCAGTCCCAGTTCGCAAACCCAGCCGTGAGAGACTGAAGCTCGTCACATTCAGCAGCGTGGATGAAGCCTGCATGGAAGAAGCCAGACCCACAAGTGGCAAAATGTCCCTGTTCTATCATTCCATTTGTATCAAGTTCAAAATCAGGCTAATCTCTGGTCACAGAAGTGGGAGAAGTATGGGATGGGGATCCACAGAGATGGACATCGGAGACACTTTGGGTGCTGGAATGTTCTTTATTTAAATTTTACTTTAGAGATAGGGTCTCATTCTGTTACCCAGGCTGGAGCAGCACAATTACAGCTCATTGCAGCTTCGACCTCCTGGGCTCAACCGATCCTCCCGCCTCAGCCTCCCAAGGTGATGGGATTACAGGCGTGAGCTGCCATACCTGCCCTGAAACATTCTATGTTGAGCTTCGGGCAGTGGGTCCACAGGTGCACATGCATCTGTGATTGGCATACCTCACCATGTGTCACTCAGTAAATAATTTATTTTAAACGCAGGACTTTGCAGGTGCAGTGGGAGGGTGGCTTGAGGCTAGGAGTTTGAAACCAGCCTGGGCAACCTAACAAAACCCCATCTCTACGAAAAATACAAAAAATTAGCCAGGCGTGGTGGCACATGCCTGTAGCCCCACTACTCAGGGGGCTGAGGTGGGAGGATCACTTGAGGCCAGGAGGTTGAGGCTGCAGTGAGCCTTGATCACACCACTGCACTCCAGCCTGGGGGTTGGAGTGAGAGCCTGTGTCAAATATATATATTTATTTATTTAATTTTTTAAAAAGTTTTCCCTAGGACTTGGAGTTTGAAGTGGCAGATACACACAAGCATCTATTGCCTCTTTGCTTTAAATTGAAGACAAAAGCTTTCAAGAGACTAAGGTGGGAAATGGAAAACATATGTCCAGGTGGTGACTCCTCAGAAGCTAAGAGTGTGGAATGTGCAAATGCAAGAAGCCGGCCAGCTTCAGAGCCCCAGGAGGCACGGGAAGTGGGGGCTCAGATTCCTCCGAGAAGCTGGACTGGAAACAGGGTCTCCAGGGGGCCTTTGTGAGGGGCACGGTGTTCTGGCCACAGCTGAAGACGGGGCTGGGGCTCTGTGCTGAAACCAGAGGGACAGAGGTGACACCCTTGCTGGAGGTGCAGGGACCCTTCTCGGCTGACAGCACTTCTGGCCTTCCAGGGCTGCTGGGCCACACCGCAGGCACAGGGCGAGCGTGGGCACAGGAAGGAGGTGGGCCATGCCAGGCACACAGGGAGGGTGAGGGCCATGCTGCGTACATACAGGGAGGGCGGCTCCTCTGCAGGACAGTGTGGGGCAGGAGCAGTCAGAGCTGTGGGGCCTCTCACCAGCCACATGCACTGACACTGTGATGTCAACACTGAGTGTCAACTTGACTGGATTGAAGGATGCAGAGTATTGATCCTGGGTGTGTCTGTGAGGGTGCTGCCAAAAGAGATTCACATTTGAGTCAGTGGGCTGGGGAAGGCAGATCCACCTTTAATCTTGTGGGCACCATTGAATCAGCTGCTAGCGAATATAAAGCAGGCAGAAAAATGTGAAAAGGTGAGACGGGCCTAGGCTCCCAGCCTACATCTTCCTCCTGTGCTGAATGCTTCCTGCCCTTGAACATCAGACTCCAAGTTCTTCAGGTCTGGGACTCGGACTGGCTCTCCTTCCTCCTCAGCCTGCAGACAGACAGCCTATTGTGGGACCCTGTGATCGTATGAGTTAATACTTAATAAACTCTCCTTTATGTGTGTGGGTATATATATATATCCTATTAGTTCTGTCCTTCCAGAGAACCCTGACTAATACACAGGCAAACGTAAAAGCAAGCACAAAAGCTGCAACCAGGATCTCTGGGAAGACGCTGTGTCTGTGACGTGGAGGTGTGGGCCCCACAGAAAGAGGTTTCAGACTTTATGACAGAACCTGGTGGAGGAAGGACGGGATGAGACATGAAAGCTCAGTGGGAGGATGGAAGATTAACTGCAAGTTATCTTCCGAAAAGTGGTACAAAATACATCAAGAGAAGGAAAATCAAAGAGAAAAGATGTTTAAAAATGGCAGATTCTGTCAAGAAAGTCCAACAGAGAAATAACGGGTTCCAGGAAGAAGGGAGAGCAGGGAAGGGAGGACATTCCTCAGGGGTCCATCGCAGATGGGTTTCCAGTTGCGAGGGCGTGGGAGCCACACCAGCAGCTGTGTGCAGTGGCCAAAGATGGGTGGAGAGAGACCCGCTGTGGGGCACGTTGTCGTGAAATTTCTCAACACTAGCAAAAATGGAAGAACCTCCAAACCTCCAGAAGAGCAGCTGACGTCAGAGGGGCAGGAATAGGAATGGGTTCTGGGGTCTCAGCAGCAGTTCTGGGAGCAAAGCCTGCCTGTGCTAAGGAAACGTTATCTCTGCCCAGAGGTCCTGGTCCGCTGAACTCTCACAGACCCTGGAGGTGCACATCTCCCAAGACAAAGTCCAGTACTCTATGGACTTTATCTTGGGAAACACGCAGCGATATGCTTCACCACTACCTGGAGGCCGAAAGGTGTTGACCCAGGGCATGGCGCGTGTGGGTCAAGCCCGACCTTGCAGGCAGGAGCTGGAGAGCGGCTGGATGGGAAACAGAAACAACAGAGCCTGATGGGCATTCACCCTGAAAGCAGCAGCAGGAGGCTGAGGTGTTGATGTCCTTGCACAGCCAGAGTATCGCAAATGAGGAACGTGCTGATTCAGCTAAAACTCTAATTCTGCCGTTTTGGGAGGCCGCCTTCCGGTGGGGGAGACATCCATACCAAATGCCAGGAGGCCACAACCCAAGGACATTGTCTGGAAACATGGAGGCAAATGGGAGACCATTTCAACATCGGCCTGCAGGCATCGAACGATGCAGTGGGCAGGGCGGGGGGTGACACCTGCTTTTTCTTTTTTTTTTTTTTTTTTTTTGAGATGGGTCTCTCTCTGTCACCCAGGCTGGTGTGCAGAGGTGTGATCTCAGCTCACTGCAGCCTCCACCTCCAGGTTCAAGCAATTCTCCTGCCTCAGCCTCCCGAGTAGCTGGGACTACAGGCACACGTCACCACGCCCTGCTAATTTTTCTATTTTCAGTAGAGACGGGGTCTCACCAGGTTGTCCAGGATGGTCTCGATCTCTTGACCTCCTGATCCTCCTGCCTTGGCCTCCAAAGTGCTGGGATTACAGGTTTTAGCCACTGCGCCCAGCCTGCGCCTGCTTTTTTTTTGTAAGCCTTGTAGAATCAGTTGGCGTTTATGCATGAATATGACTTTGATGAAAATAAAAATCTTAAAATGTGTTAAGACAGTAACAGAGGCTGTGCCTCTTTCCACAGACAGCACCCCCAGGTGGCCTCCGTGAGGCTGGAAAAGCTGAGTCCACAGGTGCTGAGCAGGCAGGTCTTGCGTCTGCAGGAGCAGTTCAGCGTGATCCCTGGTGAGTCCAGCCCCACACTCTTTCATGGCCAGGCTCATGTTCTGTGACTGTGCTGCTGGTTGTTCAGGCACCAACCTTCCCAGAGAGCCCCTTCCTGCCTCCTGCCCAGCTCCTGCCAGAGTGCCCGCAAGGTGGGCCTGTCCTGGGCCCTGCCACTGAGCAGCCGACCAGCCTGAGCTCCTCTGCCCACCTAGGGTGACTCCGGGGGGATTCCTGCCTCCTGGCTGGCTGCAGAGCTGAGAGTGAGTGCTGAGTCCCAGTCGCCAGGACTCTGCGGCCACTCCTCCCAGGCCCCTCTGGACAGACTGATGGCCACACCTGCCTGTGTCATTGGACACCAAGGGAAGCCAGGCCCCTTTGTTCCCAGGACCCCAGCAGGGGCCGGGAAGACGCATTAAGGCCCCATCCGTGAGGCCCTGAGTCTCAGGAGGGTGCAGTTTGGTGCCTATCTGGCAGTTTGGGTTTATCTGGATTTTGCAGCGTTTCTAGGTTCTCAGCATGGGTAGGTTGCAGCCCAGATCCCTTCCATCAGTGCAGCACTGTATCTAGCCTTTGGACACAGTATCCCGCTGGCAAAATTATGCCAAAAAGCGTGGAAATGTCAGGAAAGCTGCTCCCGTCTGTAGAGCTGAGGGAACCACTTCTGCAGCAACCCCCGGGCTATCAGCTGTGCCCTCTCTGAGTAACTTCTCCCTCTCTCCCTTCTCCCTTCCAAACCTGTGCCAGGCTTCATGTAGGGGCTACCCAGAGGGGCCCCATGTTTTAAAGGGGTGACGGCCCCTGGGGTGGGGTGCACGAGGTTAGTAGAGACTTCATTTCCGGGAAGGAGGAAGGTGGGAAGCAGGTGCCCTCATCACCCCTTGGACCCAGGGCAGGTGGCGGATTCCTGGGGGAGGACTCTGCTGGAAGCTCGTGCCCTGGTGGCTGCATTCCAGGAAGGCTGGCCCTCCCTGATAAGCCCCAGCTTCTAGCCTTGCTAGAAGCTGTGGCCGGTAGGTGGGGTCCCTGCCACAGGGTGCTCCCAGGCGTTGGAGGCAGGTGCTGGCAGGGTGCCTACATGATGTTTTGAGAGTATGGGTCGCAGGGACCTTGGGTGAGGTTGGGCCAGAACCAGGCAGGGGCCTCAGGGCAGACGGTCACCCGCTCCACACAGCTGCTTTCTGGGCATGGGTATATGGGGCCCTGCCAGGTTGGCATCCTGCTGAGAACTGGGCAACCTGCTTGGACCACTGGCAGCCAGACCCTGGGGGGAAGGGGCTCAGTGGGACCTCCCTGGGCCCCCTCGGGATCTGGAGTGGAATCTGGTGAGGCTGATGGAGAGTATGGATGTGTGTTTGTCAGCGTGGACTCTGGTGAGTGATGGAGAGTGGATGCCCGTGTGTCAGTGTGGACTCTGGTGAGTGACGGAGAGTGTGGATGCCCGTGTCAGTGTGGACTCTGGTGAGGCTGATGGAGAGTGTGGACGCCCGTGTGTCAGTGTGGACTCTGGTGAGTAATGGAGAGTGTAGACACGTGTGTCAGTGTGGACTCTGGTGAGTGATGGAGAGTGTGGACGTGTGTGTGTCACTCTTGTGAGTGGAGAGTGTGGATGTCCGTGTGTCAGTGTGGACTCTGGTGAGTGATGGAGAGTGTGGACGTTCGTGTATCAGTGTGGACTCTGGTGAGTGATGGAGAGTGTAGACGTCCATGTATCAGTGTGGACTCTGGTGAGTGATGGAGAGTGTGGACGCCCGTGTGTCAGTGTGGACTCTGGTTAGTGATGGAGAGTGTAGACGCGTGTGTCAGTGTGGACTCTGGTGAGTGATGGAGAGTGTGGACGCATGTGTCTGTGGACTCTGGTGAGTGACGGAGAGTGTGGACGTGTGTGTGTCAGTGTGGACTCTGGTGAGTGATGGAGAGTGTGGATGCCCGTGTGTCAGTGTGGATTCTGGTTAGTGATGGAGAGTGTAGACGCGTGGGTCAGTGTGGACTCTGGTGAGCGATGGAGAGTGTGGACACGTGTGTCAGTGTGGACTCTGGTCAGTGATGGAGAATGTGGACGCGTGTGTCAGTGTGGACTCTGGTGAGTGATGAAGAGTGTGGACATCCATGTGTCAGTGTGGACTCTGGTGAGTGATGGAGAATGTGGACACGTGTGTCAGTGTGGACTCTGGTGAGTGATGGAGAGTGTGGACGTGTGTGTGTCAGTGTGGACTCTGGTGAGGCTGATGGAGAGTGTGGACGTGTGTGTGTCAGTGTGGACTCTGGTGAGGCTGATGGAGAGTGTGGACGCATGTGTCAGTGTGGACTCTGGTAAGGCTGATGGAGTGTGTGGACGCATGTGTCGGTGTGGACTCTGGTGAGTGATGGAGAGTGTGGACACGCGTGTGTCAGTGTGGACTCTGGTGAGTGATGGAGAGTGTAGACGTGTGTGTGTCAGTGTGGACTCTGGTGAGTGATGGAGAGTGTGGACGTGTGTGTGTCAGTGTGGAGTGTGCTGAGGCTGATGGAGGGTCTGGATGCTCGTGTGTCTCAGTCCTGGCCGATTCTGGGGCCTGCTCCAGGCATGGGACCCACAATGACCAGCCAGCCTTGTCCAAAAGGATTCCACCTGCCAGCAGAAGTCAGGGCACAAATGGAGATGCCAGCACCGGACAGGAACCTTCTGAGGAAAGACAGGCAGGCCTGGACCTGCCGCACAAGTGCAAAAGAGACCCCAGGGCCAGCAGGACCCCTAAGCTGGGTTGGATGGACCCCAGCAGAGGCCCACCTGGTGGTTTGGGGGGGTGGGGTCTCAGTAGAGGTGGAAGAGGGTGGAAAGGCATGCACAGCCCCCCTTCCTGTCTCCCACCTGCCCCTGGAGGAGGCAGCAGCAAGGCTGCCCTGAGCCTGCAGTGCTGAGCTGGCCCCTCCCTTTCAGCGCTGTGTCCCCATGCGGCCATGCAGCAGCGCCTGGCAGCCCTGCGACACCTGTGCCACAAGCGGTTTGTGGAGGTTCGTGAGCAGGAGGGGGCTGGTGGGCTGCGACCATGGCCTGAGCCACAGACTTTGGTCTAGGATACTAACTGTGCACCACAGGGTGCACGGGTATCCTGAGAGGGGCCGCGTCTCGCCCCAGAGCTGGGGAACTGGGCCAGGCCTGGGGGAAGGGAGGCCACGGGCCCAGCTCTGGGCCGTGGCACCAGGGTGGGCCAGCATCTGAGCTGTGTGGGGCCAAGGAGGGCTCCCACCAAGCCCCTGTTCAGCCTCTGGAGCCACCTGGAAACCGCCTCCCTCCCCTCTTTGCCTTTACAGAAGAGCCTGTCTCAGGAGAACTGGGCTGACCACGTGCAAGTGAGTCCATGCCCTGCCCTGTGGGGCTGCAGAGCCCGGGGCAGCTGTCTGGGGGGCACAGGCCCGGAGCCTCCGGGTGAAAGCAGGCAGACTGAGGCCTTCATTGGGGCTGCTGACCCCAGGCCCTGTGTTAGGGCATGTGCCTGGCAGGCAGGTGCGGGCAGCCTGCTCGGAAGCCGAGGGCCTCAGGGGAGCCTGGCTGGGCCTCGTTCCAGGCAGATGGCAGTGTCTGTGCCACCCAAACGGGCTGGCCGGAGCTGCCTGTGCAGCCGGGTGGGGGCCGAGAGTCCCTGGGGAGGTGCGGGGCCTGGGCGAGGCCGGAAGGAGGAAGGCCAGGCCCCCCCGGGTGCCAGCAGAGAGCTGACCGGAAGGGCAGCGGACGTCCTGAAGAATGCGGGCAGCTTCCACATATTGTCGTCCACGTGGGAACCCACGCCGGGGAAGCAGCCTCGGGCTGCTGGGCCTGAAGCCAGGGAGGCAGGCGGATCCTCCTCGAGGCCATAGGTGGGAGGTTGTGCAGGAGCTCAGCCTCCCAGTTGGGTCCCCCACTTCCCACCTGACACTCAGGCCACCCTGGACCCACGGACTCTGGGACCTTGCTGGGAGGGAGACCCTCGGAGCTTGTGCTAGGCCCTGGATTTTCTGGCAGGGGCTGAGGGCCCAGCAGGTCTGTGGGTACCTCTGCTCCTAGGCTGGCACTGCCACAGGCTCTGCAGGGTGGGAGAGAGCTCACGCTGGCGAGGACAAGGCTTCTCAGGACCCCCTTGGTCACTGTTGCCTGGAGGCCACCCCCCTGTCTCCTCCCGGGCCATGGGTGAATGGGTGTCCCTGACCTCCTCAGCCCGGCCAGCCAAATCCCCAAAATGAGGAGGATGAGGGGAAGGGGCAGAGGGGTTCCCCTGGCAAGAAGAGGAGCTTGGATGGGGCAGGTTAGGCAGGTACTCCGGAAAACCCACCCGGGCTTCTGGGACCTGGGGTGCAGGTGGAAGCCTGGTGAGAGCAAGAGGGCTAGCGGAGGCTGGGAGGCCAGAAGGGTCAGTGGAGGCTGGGAGGCCGGGAGGGTCAGCGGAGGCTGGGAGGCCAGGAGGGTCAGTGGAGGCTGGGAGGCAGGGAGGGGCTGGCCGGGGCAGAGCTGCAGTGGATAGCCTTTGCCTCAGTGCCTCCGTCTCAGCTGCTTCGGTCCTGTGGAACCAGCCCAGGGCCTCAGGCGGGATGGGCACTGCAGGCCTTGGGTGGACAGCCGCCCCTCCTCCCAGAGTGCTCAGAGCCAGCCTGTAAGGTTGGGGGTCTTTGGGAGTCCCTCAGGGAAGAGCCATGTTCCCATCCTCATTCTCATGGACCCTCCTCACAGGGCCTGGTGGGACAGAGCCCGTGGCTTCAGGAGCAGCTGTCTCAGCTGCTGGCCTCCCTCAGTGACCCAAGCATGGCCGCCCAGTGCACCCTGAACCTCCCACTGCCTGAGGACCGGCTGCTGGCCACAGTGGCTGCGGGGCTTGGCCAGCTCCAGCTCCAGGGGAGGTGAGCACCCCAGGGTGACCCCAGCCAGGGATGGGTTCTGCCCAGGATGGCCCCTGCCCTTGGGACAACAGCTCACCAATCTGCACACCAGTGGCTTGAGAATCAGAAACCAGGAGAGAACAAAGCCCGGAGCAGAGAAGACAGGAGGGCCTGCAACCACAGCCCTGGCTGGCCAACGGTGCAGGGGCCTGAGGAGCAGGCTGCCCGAGGGCCTGGGGCAGTCACCTGGGAGGAGGGGCAGGAGCTGGGGCCTGCACTGAGCCTGTGTGGGAAGAGGAGCTAGGACTCCAGACGCCCCCACCAAGCAGGCCCCGAACAGTCCCCTGCAGCCCTGCAGTCAGAGTGGGTGGGGACCAGGGACCCAGGGATGTGGGGACGCCACCAGCTCTGCTCCTCCCAGGGCGGCTGAGGCTGTCTCGAGGCTCAACATGAAGGACGTGAAGGACCATTACTACCAGCTGCCCATCCCCAGGGAGAACATCTACCTCCTGACCTCTCAGGAAGACCTGGCCAGACACAAGGATGCCCTCCTGCAGGTCAGGGGCAGTGCCTGGTGGCAGGACCCCCTGCCGAGAGCTGGAGGAGCTGCAGGGGTGTGGCGTTTGGAGGGAAGCGCAGCCTCTGGGCAGGGACCCACCAGGTGCCCCAGAGCTGCTGTGAGGGCAGCCGTTCCCCATACTGTGCGCTGGTGATGCTCTGGGCTGCTGGGTGCTGGCCTTCATCGGGGCCTCCTGTCAGCCTGAGGAAGCTGCCATGATATCCCCATTTTACAGATGGGGCTCCAAGATGTGGGGTGGGTCCCTGACATGGGCACTGCCGTTGGCACTAGGCCAGTCTCTTGCTCACAACAGCCAGGCCTCCCCTCTCTGGTCCAGCCATAGAAAGGAAGGGGCAGTGGGACACTGGCCATAGTGTCCCCAACAGCCCCAGCCCCAAGAGTGCAGGGTGACGTCTCCCTGAAGCCGGGACTCACAGAGCTTTTCAGCCCTCCAGGCTGCGGTCCCTGCAGAGCCGAGCTGGCCCCAACGCTCACACCTGCCCATCTCTGCCTGCAGCCCCAGCAGGTGGTTGGTGTGGACCTGGAGTGGACACTGGTGTTCATTGCTGGGGGCCGGCCCCGGCCATCACTCCTGCAAGTGGCCACGGAGGGCTGCGTGTTCCTTCTCGACATCCTGGCATTCACGCAGCCGCCAGCAGGTCAGGGAGCCCAGGCCTTCTCCCAGCTGGTGGCCCAGCTCCTCTCGGACCCATCCATCACCAAGCTGGGTGAGTGAAGCCCTGGGGCCCCCTGCCAGTCCAGAAGGGAAGCAGCCTGAACCTCTGCCCAACCCTTTCCTTCATGCACCCCAGGGAGGGGTGCTGGGTGCACCTGGGGTCCGGTGCCCCTCCCACGATGGTTCCTGCCCACAGGCTATGGGATGGCAGGGGACCTGCAGAAACTGGGCATGTCCTGCCCCATCCTGGCCCACGTGGAGAAACAGGTTCTGGGTGGCGTGGACCTGCTGCTGGTACACAGACAGGTGGGCGCCACTGCCATGATCCGCTCACACGACGCCCGGGTGGGCCTGGGGCTTGAGGGCTGTCTGGGGCCCCTGTACACCTTCCCCACAGCCCTGTGCTTCTCCCGCTGGGTTCCTGTCAGCTCAGCCTGAGTCACCTGGCCCTGGAGCAGGGCCTGGCAGAAGTGGATCTGGCGTCCCCAGGGAGGGAGAGGAGCCTCCTGGCACAGGCGTCCCTGAGCCCCTGTGGGCCCCTCATCTGGCGTGAGGGCACCTTCCCAGGACCGGTACCCCAAGTTCCACTCGGAGCAGCTCTGGGTGGGAGCCCCTGGGGGTGAAGGTGTGAACCCCGGAGCTGTCCCTAGGTGCAATACCTGCAGCCTGCAACCCCCACATGGAGCCTGTCCTTGGCTGTGTCTGCTCCTTCTCCCAGTCTCTGCTGCACTGGCCACTGGCAGAGGGGGCAGGGCCTCCTCCTGAGCCACCGTGAAGCTGGTGTGAGTGGGCGTGGTGGGCCGTCCTCCTCCAGGGCCCCCACGTGGCTGGTGTGAGTGGGCGTGGTGGGCCATCCTCCTCCAGGGCCCCCACATGGCTGGTGTGAGTGGGTGTGGTGGGCCGTCCTCCTCCAGGGCCAGGTGCATCATCTGCCGACACTGTCTTGGCAGATGCGAATGGCGGGCATGCCAACCCCAGGCATGGCCAGGGCTGGTGGGCTGAGAGGCCTGAGCCTCCTAGTGCAGCAGGTGCTGGGCACGACCCTGGACAAGACACAGCAGCTGTCCAACTGGGACCGGAGGCCGCTCTTCGAGGAGCAGCTCATCTATGCAGGTGTGTGGGGTGGCAGGTGGCGGTGATACTTCCTCACACCCCACGGCCCTCCCGCCAGCGGCCCTGGAGGCTGAGGCAGACTCCCCGCAGCTGCTGATGCCTACTGCCTGCTGGAGGTGCACCAAGCCCTGTGCAGAGAGCCCGCCCGCTTCCACCTGTCGGGGGACCTGGCTGGGAGCCAGAGGCCCAGGCACAGAGAGAGACCAGGGACACAGGAGCCGCCCGGCCTGCAGGAGGCATTGGCCGCACCCAGGCAGGTGCGTGAAGCCCCGCAGGGTCCCTTTGTCGGGATTCTTGAGGAAGGAGGTGTCTGTCCCTAAACCAAGGACCTGCATGGAGACAAGGTCACTGGGTCAGAGCGTGTGGAGGGGCTCAGCTCCCCGGCCCTGGACCCCTGCCCCCTGCATTGAGACGGAACAGAGTCCTGGTGAACTTCCTGTATGACTGTCATGGGGACTGCCCTTTACTGGGGGCCAGGGCTTAGGCAGAGTGCCACCCTGACACTGGGCCTGGCAGGCCCCTCCCGTGGCCCAGGGCAGCATCTAGGCCCCTCCCCATGACCCCCACCCACTCTAGGCCACCCACGAACCCCAGACACACATGTGGAGGCCCCCCCAGTGTGAGCACTAGAGCCCCCTGTGGTGGTTTTGTTTCATTTTGTCTGCATTTCTGCTGGGCGGGTGACACTGTGAGGGGCCAGGTAGGTGACTGTGAAGCTGCTGACCGGGCCCTCACTGCAGGTCCCTTTGGCTGTGGCTGAGGCCACCATCCCTCAGGTCCCTGCCAGGACCTTCCGCGTGGTGTGTGACAACATGCTGCAGGGGCTGGCACGGAGCCTCCGCTGTCTGGGTGTGGATGTGCACGTGCTGGACAACAGTGAGGACCACCGCAGGGCAGCCGAGGTAAGCGTGTGGGGAGGGGCTTGAGGTCCTCCCTAGGAGCAGCTGCCCCTGGCACAAGTGTGCCCACCCCCAGCACCAAAGTCCTCCCTCCAGCTCATCGACAGCTGCCAGCTGTGCCAGGCAGGCTCTGGGAACAGGACAGCCAAGGATGGAGCTGTTGGGGATCAAGGGGCTGAGATGGTCCCAGCCTCAGCCTCATTGTCCTGCAAAAGCAATTTACAGATAATGTAATTGAGACTACTAATCAGTTGACCTTAAGAGAGAGAGACTATCTTATTTGGGTGGGCCCAGTGTCATCACATGAGCCCTTTAAGGCAGGAATGGGGCCAGGTGCCGTGGCTCACACCTGTAATCCCAGCACTTTGGGAGGCTGAGGCAGGTGGATCAGGAGGTCAAGAGATCGAGACCATCCTGGTCAACATGGTGAAACCCCGTCTCTACTAAAAATACAAAAAATTAGCCGGACATGGTGGTGGGCGCCTGTAATACCAGCTACTTGGGAGGCTGAGGCAGGAGAATCACATGAACCCCAGAGGTGGGGCCGCAGTGAGCTGAGATCCCACCACTGCACTCCAGCCTGGCTGACAGAGCAAGATTCCATCTAAAAAAGAAAAGGAGGAATGGAACACAGAATAAGCAGAAGACAGAGTCAAAGCACAGGAAGGACTCCGTGTCCCATTGTTGGCTTGAAGATGGAGGAGGCCACACAAGGAAGCCTCAGTCCAGCAGCCACAAGCAGCCAGATTCTGCCAACACCTGACCAAGCCCAGAAGCCTCATAGGAGAGCCCAGCCACTCACTCTGTGATTTCAGCCACGAGACCCTGAGCAGAGAACCTGGTTCAATCCCCCAGACTTCTGGACTCCCACAGAACTATGTTTTAAGCTGCAAAGCTTTTAGTAAATTGTTATCAGCAGGATTAGAAAAATAATATAGATTGTGGTACCAGGAGTGAGGTGCTGGTATAACAAACAGCTGAAAATATGGAAGTAGCAGCCGGGTGTGGTGGCTCACGCCTGTAATCCCAGCAATTTGGGAGGATAAGGCAGGTAGATCATGAGGACAGGAGTTCAAGACCAGCCTGGCCAACATGGTGAAAATTAGCCAGATGTGGTGGTGGTGGGCACCTGTAATCCCAGCTACTCGAAAGCTGAGGCAGGAGAATCGCTTGAACCCGGCAGGCGGAGGTTGCAGTGAGCCGAGACTACACTCCAGCCTAGAGACTCCATTTCAAAAACATAAATAAATAAATGTGGAAGTAGCTTTAGAATCAGTGAGTAGGTGGCAGAGTTCCGAGGATCACATAGGGAAAGCCGAGATGACTCTGAAACAGACGGTTAGCAGAAGTGCGGCATGAGAAGAACTAAAGGTTAGGGAATAGAGTCAGGATCTTGGCAAATGCAGCTGAAACAGGTGAAGCCAAGATGCCCAGACCTCAGCCACAGAACTGTGAGGCTGTCAGACCAAAGCCACATTGACCAGTTTTCTCCCTCAGGGGCCTCAGAAGTGGGGTAAGGTGGTGTTTCTTCTTCATGACACATCTGAAGAGGTGTAGAATCCATCTTGAACCTTCTATTTGTTTAAATACTAGTTATGGGTAATCTTACCCATATATTTTCCTAATTTCTTTTATTCCCTCTATTTTTTTTTCCATCAGCAAGGAGTCAAATATTTTTCTAATTACTTTAATTTTATTTTATTTATTCATTTATTTTGAGATGGAGTCTCACTCTGTCACCCAGGCTGGAGTGCAGTGACGCGATCTCAGCTCACCGCAGCCTTCACCTCCCGGGTTCAAGTGATTCTCCTGCCTCAGGCTCCAGCATAGCTGGGACTACAGGCACCCACCACCACATCTGGCTAATTATTGTATTTTTAGTAGAGTCAGGTTTCACCATGTTGGCCAGGCTGGTCTCGAACTCCTGACTTTAGGTGATGCACCCACCTTAGCCTCCTGAAGTGCTGGGATGACAGTTGGAGCCTCCACGCCCGGCAGGGTCTTTCCAAATCATGTGTTTTCTACTAAGACTCCTGAGTAGATTAGTTCATTGTTTCATATAAGGATTATACCTTGAGTTTCATTTTTCATGCCTTCAAAAGGAGCACTACTAATAAATTTGCAAACATTTTTTAAAAAGAAAAAGAAAGCGCTCCCAGTGAGATCCCAGAGGGTGTGAGGAGCATGCCCTGGCCCCATGGAGAAAGACGCCGTGGGGCTGTGTCCTGCTGTCACACAGAAGAACCTGGATATGGAGCTGAGGAGACCTCCAGACAGCGTGGAAGGTGCAACCTGGTCTCTCCTTGCTGCTTATGGTAACATGAGCAGAAAGAGCGACTGAGGGGAGAGCTTTTAAACAGAAAGGAACTAGGACTCAATGATCTGGGAAACTCTTAGCCTGCTCCGATGGCAGAAGCTCCCAACAGCGTGACCTGAAAAGCTGCGTGTGCGACTGTGCCGGAGTGAGGGGCTGAACACACAGTCAGTCTTTGAAAGCAAACCCAAGGCTTCAGAAAGCCCAGGGCATCAACCTCGGCCACCTCCACAGACCCTGAATTGACCAGGAAACAGGCCAGTGATGCTCCACGCCACTCACCATCGTCCCGGACGTGGGTTGTCAGCCACTGTGAGCGCAGAGGCCAGTTCTTCCTAGTAAATCTCAACATTCCTCTCCTACTGGCTTACTTCTCTACGGCAGCCCAGCTGACCAATTTTGGTGCTGCAGGTGGTTGCATAGAAAAGTCTCACAGATGAGTTGTCTGCATTGATTCTGGGACTTCTGGAATTGGTTCTCTAATACTATTAGATTTAGGGACACAAAGGGCCCAGTTTCCAATAGCAAAGAGGGCACAGTAGTCCATGCTGAGATGTTGCAGAATTACTCAGATACTGCCATGGGGTAGCCCTAGTTGGGAACCTAGGAGAGATTCTGAGGGACCAGGTATTTACTACTTCAGAGCATCGCAGTCCAACTCCTGGGAATAGTGGGACGGGCGCTTAATTCCTGTAGCTGCAGAATTAAAACAGCTGAAAACCATGCCTAGAGTTTCATCCTGTGAGCAGCTGAATTACAACAGAAATTACGGTCACAACTGATGTTATTAATCTTTGTCCACGTGCCAGTCCTGTCCACATCACATTAGCTTTCATTGTCTCTGAACTTGCCTTTCTCTGATGACTGATGAAGCTGAGCATCTTCCCAGACATTCCCTGGCTATTCACACATTCTGCTCCGTGGAACGCCTCGTGGCTGCCCTAAGAAAGGTCTGCCTGCAAGGCGGGGAACTCTGCTGGGAAACAGCTCCTGGACTGATGAAAACCTTCCCTAAATGATGAAGGTGGTTTGCTGTGCTCAGTCTTCACAAACACTGCAGCTTATGCTGGACATCACTTTCCGTCCTGGACTCTGGAATTTCGGTACATGCCAGGTAGAGGGTATCAATGTGACCACCCCCCAGTAAAGCCTCAGGCGATGAGTCGAGAATGAACTCTTCAGACAGACGACACTTCACACGTGTCATTACGGCTCATTGCAGAAGCACACCACGTGTGACACCTGGGAGAGGCTCTTGGGTGCCTGAGCCTGGCTTCCTCTGGGCTGTGCCCCGTCCGTGCGCCTTTTTCCTTTGCTACATGGCTGTGTACTGTTCACTGAAGTGTGTCTCAGCCAGAGCATGGCTGTGTGCTGAGTCCTGTGAGTGGCCCTGAGTCAGTGTCACTCTTACCTCCTGTAGCTGCAGGAGACTTAGTGATACTAAACCTCAGGGTAATCTTGGGGACCCTCATGCCTGGTCATCTTTTTCTTTCTTTTTTTAAGAAACAGGGTCTTGTTTTGTCTGGCTAGAGTGCAGTGGTGTGATCATAGCTGACTGCAGCTATGATCAAAATCCTAGGTTCAAGCAATCCTCCCTACTCAGCCTCCTGGGTAGCTAGGAACACAGGTACACGCCACCATACCCAGCTAATTTTTAAAATTTTTGTGGAGATAGGCTCTCTCTGTATTGCCCAGGCTGGTCTTGAACTCCCGGCCTGGAGTGGTTCTCCTGCCTCAGCCTCCCAAAGTGCTGGGATTACAGGTGTGAGCCACTGCGCCCGGCCTTGAGTTTTACATGACATCACACTGCCGAGATTCCATATAGCGTTATCCTCATCTTCTGTCTGGTAGGGTGAGCACCCACCTCGTTCTCCTTCAGACCTTTGCCCTTTCTGTATAGGTTTAGAAACAGCTCACCAGTTCAGTTTTGCTTGGAACTGCATTGACTCTATAAATCAATTTAGGGAAACGTGACATTTTTGAGATATTGAGGCCACACCTATGATCTCAGCACTTTGGGAGGTCAAGTAGGGACAGTTTCTTGAGCCCAGGAGTCTGAGACCAGCCTGGGAAACACAGTGAAATGTTATTTCAAAAAAAAAAATTAAATTTAAAAACACAGGCAGGCCGGGCGCGGTGGCTCACGCCTATAATCCCAGCACTTTGGGAGGCCAAGGCGGGTGGATCACGAGGTCAAGAGATCGAGACCATCCTGGTCAACATGGTGAAACCCCGTCTCTACTAAAAATACAAAAATTAGCTGGGCACGGTGGCGCATGCCTGTAATCCCAGCTACTCGGGAGGCTGAGGCAGGAGAATTGCTTGAACCCAGAAGGCGGAGGTTGCGGTGAGCCAAGATCGTGCCATTGTACTCCAGCCTGGGTAACAAGAGTGAAACTCCATCTCAAAAGAAAAACATAGGCAGTCATGTGGTGCACACCTGTGGTCCTGACCTGGCAGCCTGGGGGACTGAGGTAGGAGGATCACTTGAACCCAGGAGGTTGAGGCTGCGCAGTGAGCCATGATCATGCCACTGCACTCCAACCTGGGCAACAGAGCTAGATCTCATTTAAAAAGACTCATAAATAAAATACAATGATGCTGAGTCTTCTCTTTGTGGATGATTATCTAACTCTTTCCTAATGTCTTTTATTCTAACATTTTTTTGTTCGTTTGTTTGAGACAGAGTCTCACTCTGTCACCAGCCTGGAGTGCAGTGGCTCAGTCTTGGCTCACTGCAACCTCTGCTTCCCGGGTTTAAGCGATTCTCCTGCCTCAGCCTCCCAAGTAGCTGGAACTACAGGCACATGCCACCACACCCTGCTAATTTTTGTATTTTTAGGAGAGACGGGGTTTCACCATGTTGGACAGGCTGGTCTTCATCTCCTGACCTTGTGACTCGCCTGCCTCGGCCTCCCAAAGTGCTGGGGTTGCAGGCGTGAGCCCCCGCGCCCAGCCTCTTTCTAACACATTTGATAACCTCCATAAAGATCTTATGTGTCATTTGTTAGATTGCGACCCAGGAACTTTAGATTCGTGTTGTGATTATAAATTGTGTGGGTTCTGGGCCGGGCGCGGTGGCTCAAGCCTGTAATCCCAGCACTTTGGGAGGCCGAGGCGGGTGGATCACGAGGTCAAGAGATCGAAACCATCATGGTCAACATGGTGAAACCCTGTCTCTACTAAAAATACAAAAAATTAGCTGGGCATGGTGGCGCGTGCCTATAATCCCAGCTACTCAGGAGGCTGAGGCAGGAGAATTGCCTGAACCCAGGAGGCGTAGGTCGCAGTGAGCCGAGATAGCACCATTGCACTCCAGCCTGGGTAACAAGGGCGAAACTCCGTCTACAAAAAAAAAAAAAAAAAAAAAATTGTGTGGGTTCTATTTCCTGCTGATACAGGGACTGTGGCTGCCCTTGATGAATCAGTCCTATATCCAGAAAACTTGCTGAATGCCCCTAAATCTTACTGAATTGTTGCCAGCTATTTTGGGTTTTCTTCATACACATCATCTGCAAAAAATGAGGTTTTCTTTCTTCCGCTCCAATCCTTGTATCTTCCCTTATCTTACTTCATTTGTCAAGATCTGCAAGACAGTGCTGAATAGAGGTGTGGTGGTACCATCCTTATCTTGTTTCTGATTGAGAAAGGAGTGTTTTAAAATGAAGTAGGGTGGCTGCTTAATATTCTGTACCAGGCTGAGGAAGTTCCCCCATAATTACACATTTGCTATAAGTTTTTGTTATAAATGAATATTGAATTCTACCTACCTAGTGCTTTCCCGGCAGCTATTGAGAAACTCATAGGATTTTCTCCTTTAATCTGTGAATGTGATGAATGACATGATTAACTCTTTGAATTTGGGACTAATCTTTCCTTCTTGGGTTAAATTCAACTTGGTCTGCATAGTGCCCCCCCTTTTTTTAGATGGAGTCTCACTCTGTCACCCAGGCTGGAGTGCAGTGGTGTGATCTCAGTTCACTGCAACCTCTGCCTCCCAAGTTCAAGTGATTCTCCTGCCTCAGCCTCCTGAGTAGCTGGGATTAGAGGTGTATGCCACCATGCCCAGCTAATTTTTGTATTTTTAGTGGAGATGGGGTTTCACCATGTTGGCCAGGCTGGTCTAGAGCTCCTGACCACATGATCGACCCACCTCAACCTCCCAATGTGCTGGGATTACAGGCATGAGCCACTGTGCCTGGCCCATATTGCCCTTTTTATTTTTATTTATTTATTTATTTATTTTTCAAAACGGGTTTCACCATGTTGGTCAGACTGGTCTTGAACTCCTGACCTCAGGTGATCGGCCCGCCTTGGCCTCCAAAGTGCTTGGATTACAGGCATGAGCCACCATGCCCAGCCAACCCTTTTTAATACATTGCTGCCTTTGGTCTGTGCTTTTTTTTTTCTTTTTTTTTTTTTTTTGAGACGGAGTTTTGCTCTTGTTACCCAGGCTGGAGTGCAGTGGCATGATCTCGGCTCACCGCAACCTCCGCCTCCTGGGTTCAGGCAAGTCTCCTGCCTCAGCCTCCTGAGTAGCTGGGATTACAGGCATGTGCCACCACGCCCAGCTAATTTTTTGTATTTTTAGTAGAGACGGGGTTTCACCATATTGACCAGGATGGTCTCGATCTCTTGACCTCGTGATCCACCCGCCTCGGCCTCCCAAAGTGCTGGGATTACAGGCTTGAGCCACCGCGCCCGGCCCCAATTTTTTTTTTTGAAGTGGAGTCTTGCTATGTTACCCAGACTGGCCTCGAACTCCTGGGCTCAAGTGATCCTCTCACCTCGCTGGGACTCCAGCTGGGACCCTAGGCATGCAGGTCCACACCTGGCGTGGCCTGTGATTTTTGTTTAAGAACTTTGTATCCATCTTCATAAGTATATCTGACATGTAATGTTCCTTTCCCTTTTTTTCTAGCCTCATAAATATGTTGGGAAGTTTTCTCTCTTTTTTCTGCAACTCTTGAGTAATAAATTATCTGCTCCTGAAATTGGCTCACTTCCCATGAGGCTTTCTGGGCCTGATGTCTTCTTTGGGGATAATGTTCTAATACTGATTTTTATTAACAGTTATAGAACCAAGTAGCTGTCTGCATCTTCTTGATCACATTTGGTAATTTGTAGTTTTTCTGGAATGTGTCCATCTACTCCAGCACTTCAAATGCGTAAGTGTAAGCGGCTGGTGTTCCTTGTTGAGGCTCGGCTCTGCCTGCACCTGGTTCACTCTGCTTTACGGTTGCTTCCCAGTGCTCTCACTCTTCTCATGATCTTGCAGAGATGTGTCAACTTACTGCCTTTTAAAATAACCAGTATTGGTTTTGTTGATTCTTTCTATTGCATTTCTGTTTTCTGTCTCATCAATTTCTATTCTTACCTTTATAATTTCCTTCCTTTTGCCTTCTTGGGGTTGTTTCCAAGTGGCATTGCTTAGCTCTTTAATTTTCACACTCTTATATTTTATGATATATAAATATTTGAGGCTGCCAGGCACAGTGGTGGCTCATACCTGTAATCCCAGCACTTTGGGAGACCAAGGCAGGCGGATCATGAGGTCAAGAGATCAAGACCATCCTGGCCAACATGGTGGAACCCCGCCCGTCTCTACTAAAATACGAAAATTAGCTGGGCGTTGTGTCATGTAGCTATAGTCCCAGCTACTCGGGAGACTGAGGCAGGAGAATTGCTTGAACCCAGGAGGTGGAGGTTGCAGTGAGCCAAGATCGCACCACTGCACTCCAGCCTGGCGCCTGGCGACAGATGAAGACTGTGTCTCAAAATATGTATATATATTTAAGACCATAAGTTTTTCTCAAAGTATTGTTTTCACTGCCTTCTATCAGCTTTGATATGAGTGTTTTCCTTTTTAGTTCTAATAAAATTTTAATATCAATTATGATTACTTATTTGCATTTGTTCTTTAGAAGGCTGTTTTTCAGTTTCAGAAAGCTTGGATCTTGGGGCTTTTTAGTTACCTTTTTAAAGATGATTCCTAACCTAACTTCAGGAACATAGTCTGTATATTTCCAATTTTGGAAATTTCTTAAGATTTGCTGTTTAGCCAAGTAGATGATCCTTTTTATAAATGTTCCACATGGACTGTAAAAGGATACATGGATTCCCTTCCAGTCATTCTCCTCTCTCTCTCCCCCGCCCACTCTCCCCTCCCACTCCCCCTACCCCTAACACATACACACACTCAGTGGATCCGGCTTGCCAAATGTGTTGCTCAAATCATCTTTTTTTTTTTTTCTGGAGATGGAATGTCAGTCTGTCGCCAAGACTGGAGGGCAGTGGTGTGATCTCAGCTCACTGCAACCTCTGCCTCCCAGGTTCAAGTGATTCTTCTGCCTCAGCCTCCCAAGTAGCTGGGATTACAGGTGTGCACCACCACGCCTGGCTAATATTTATATTCTTAGTAGAGACAGGGTTTCACCATATTGGCCAGGCTGGTGACCTTGTGATTTGCCTGCCTCCTTGTGATTTGCCCGCCTCAGGCTCCCAAAATGCTGCGATTACAGGAGTGAGCCACCGTGCGTGGCCTAAATTATCTTTACCCTATTTACTTTCCTGCCTGATTCTACCAGGAGAGCCATGCTGAAGCTTCCTGTGACAGTGCATTCATCAAATTTTCCATGCACTTATGTCAGCGTTTGCTTTATGTTTTAAAGTTATGTTAGTAGGTTTATATGCATATTATTAGAATTCCTGTATCTCCCTGTTGTATGAAATCTTTATAATTATGAGGTGAGTCTCTTTGACCCTAGTAATGCTCTTTGCTATAAAATATATTTTAACTAACATTAATACCGTTTCTCCAATAGTCTTTGGTTATTAGTGTTGGTAGACAAGTTTTTCATCCTTTTACTTTCAACCTTCTTTTATATCGTAGGTGTCTTTCTTGTAAACTCTTTCTAGTTGGATTTTTTTTAATCCAGTCTGTCTTTGATTTTTAACTTACTAGTTTAGTCCTCTTATATTTATTGTATTATTGATGGAACTCAGGTTTAGTCACACTATCTGAATTTGTGCTTTCTGTTTGTACAACTTTTCCTATTCTTTTCCCCCTTTTTTAAAAACTGCTTTTAGCTTTTGTTACCTTCATTCTGTTTTTCCCTCAGTCAGTTTGAAAGCTGTAAATTCTATTACATTGCTTTCCCTGTTTTCTTAAAATATACATATTTTGCCATGGATTTATTTCCTTTCCTTGTTGGGATTGGCCTAGAAATTTTTTTTTTTTTTTTGAGACAGAGTCTCACTCTGTCACCCAGTCTGGAGTGCAGTGGCACCATCTCAACTCACTGCAACATCTGCCTCCCAGATTCAACCAGTTCTGCCTCAGCCTCCCAAGCAGCTGGGACTACAAGTGCGCACCACCACACGTGGCTAATGTTTGTATTTTTAGTAGCGATGGGGTTTCGCCATGTTGGCCAGGCTGGTCTCGAACTCCTGACCTCAGGTGATCCACCTGCCTCGGATTCCCAAAGTGCTGGGATTATTCATGAGCCACCAAGCCTGGCCGAGAAATGTTAACATGTATGTTAGGGTTAACAATATCTAAAGTTACAGTTAAGTCAGGAAACTTCATGTTTCATATATTTGAATAGTTTTTGGGGTACAAGAGGCTTTTGGTTAGATGGATGAATTGTATAATATTGGTGACTGGTATTTTACAGCAGTCACCCAAATAGTATATATTGTACCCAATATGTAGTTTTTTATGCCTCCTGTGTAGCCCCTGTGCCACCCTGTGTGGCCCCTGTGTAGTCCCCGCGTAGCCCCTGTGTAGTTCCTGTGTAGCCCCTGTGTGCCCCTCTGTGGCCCCTGTGTGCCCCTGTGTGGCCCCTATGGCCCCTGTGTGCCTCTATATAGCCCCTGTGTGCCCCTGTGTAGTTCCTGTGTGGCCCCTGTGTAGTTCTTGTGTGGCCCATGTGCCCCTGTGTAGTTCCTGTGTGGCCCCTGTGTAGTTCCTGTGTGGCCCCTGTGTAGTTCTTGTGTGGCCCCTGTGTGGCCCATGTGCCCCTGTGTAGTTCCTGTGTGGCCCCTGTGTAGTTCCTGTGTGCTCCTGTGTGGCCCCTGTGTGGCCCCTGTGTAGCCCCTGTGTGCCCATGTGTGCCCCTGTGTGGTTCCTGTGTAGCCCCTGTGTGGTTCCTGTGTAGCCCCTGTGTAGTTTCCATGTAACCCGTGTAGCCCCTGTGTAGTTCCTGTGTAGCTCCTGTGTAGTTCCTGTGTAGCCCCTGTGTAGCCCTGTGTAGTTTCTGTGTAGCCTGTGTAGTTCCTATGTAGCCCTGTGTAGCCCCTGTGTAGTTTCCGTGTAACCTGTGTAGCCCCTGTATAACTAGTCTCTTTCTTCTCTGTGGCCCTTGTTTTCATGTGTCTTCCTGTAATTACGTTATTTGCGAGTTGTGTGTGTTTTACTGTTTTTGTTCATCATATAGGTGTATATTTGTTATCACCACAAAGTACCTGTGTTTCTTTTTTGTTCTTTTTTTGTGGTGAAACATACATAACACAAAATTTACCATTTTAAACTTTTTTTTTTTTTTTTTCTGAGATGCAGTCTCACTCTGTCACCCAGGCTGGAGTTCAGTGGCACGATCTCGGCTCACTGCAACCTCCACCTTCTGGGTTCATTCTCCCACCTCAGCCTCCCAAGTAGCTGGGACTACAGGCACCTGCCACCATGCCTGGCTAATTTTTGTATTTTTAGTAGACACAGGGCTTCACCATGTTGGCCAGGCTGGTCTCGATCTCCTGACCTCGTGATCCGCCTGCGTTGGCCTCCCAAAGTGCTGGAATAACAGGTGTGAGCCATCATACCTGTCCCATTTTAACCATTTTTAAGTGTACAATTCAGTGGCATTAGGTACATTCACAATGTCATTTATCCGTACCAGTACCTACTTCCAGAACTTTGTATTATCCCAAACAAAGACTATACCCCTGGGGGCCGCTGTTCCACTTTCTGCCTCTATGAATTTACCTGTCCTAGGTACCTGGGAGAAGTGGAGTCATGTAACATCCATCAGTTTGTGTCTGACTTCTTCCACTCGGCGTGTCTCAAGGGTTTACTGCCACAGCCTGTGTTGGAGCGCCTTCCTTTCCGAGGCTGGGTGGCGTCCACTGCAGGTGGACCACACTGTGTTTTCTGTTCATCTACGGTTGGGCACGTGGGTTGCTTCTCCCTTCTGGCCATTCTGAATGAGGCTGCTGTGAACACTGATGTGTGAGTCTCTGTTTAAATTCCTGCTTTCAGTGCTTTCGCTTGCATAGCTAAAAGTGAAACTGCTGAATCATATACTAATTCTGTGTTTAACTTTTTGAGGAACTATCACAGTTTTCCACAGTGGCTGCACCATTTACATTCCCACCAGCAATGCATGAGGGTTCCAATTTCCCCACGTCCTCACCAATACTTATTTTCCCTTTTTCTTTTTAATTTTTATAAAAGCCATCCTGCCGGGCACAGTGACTCACACCTGTAATCCCAACACTTAGGGAGGCTGAGACAGGCAGATTACCTGACGTCGGGAGTTTGAGACCAGCTTGGCCAACATGACGAAGCCCCATCTCTACTAAAAATACAAAAATTAGCCAGGTGTGGTGGCGCACGCCTGTAATCCCAGCTACTCAGGAGGCTGAGGCTGGAGAATTGCTTGAGCCGGGGAGACAGAGGTTGCAATGAGCCAAGATCATGCCACTGCACTCCAGCTTGGGTGACAGAGCAAGACTCTGTCTCAAAAAAAAAAAGATAACTAATGATATTAAGGAGCTATTCTGAATGCATAGAAGGGTGTCCACATCTTCCTTCACCACCTCTGTTCCCCAACTTCCCTGGCTGGTCAGCGTGTCGCCTCCCTGTGGCGTGGGAGCCCTGCTGGCTCCTGAGTCCTCGGATGTGACCCTTGGCTCCTGGATCACCTTGGTTTTCTGCGGGGTCTGGACACTCCAGCCTCATTGTCACCGTGGCTTTCTGTGGGGTCTGGATGCTCCAGCCTCATTGTCTGCATTTCTGCCTTAGATCTGGAATCAGACATTTCTCCAAAAAGCTCAGGCTCCTTTCAGTGTAAAATGTCCGTAGAAACCAGTGTGGGTACAGCGTGCTCCCAGCTGTAGGACTGGGCCTTGTCTCTAGGCCTTTGCAGTGGGCAGAGTGTGGAAATACACATTTTAAAAAATATATAACATACATCAGAAATTCATACTGAAGCTGTCCAGGGTTTTTCCTGTAAGCTTAATATCCTGAATTTTTATCACCTTTGTCAGCTGAAAACTGTAATACTGAAAATAAACAGCAAAATGGAACATCTGTGTTACACCACAGTTCACACAAGGCTTTGGAGTCTCGTGTCAATCCTGCACCAAGAGGGGGCTATTGCAGCATATTTTTCATTCCTGATATGTAGTTAGCTCCCTAGAGCTATGGGGTCAAGTTATTGTGTTTTCAAATATCTGGAGTCTCTTGGAATACCTCTGTGTATGTTTTATTTATTTCATTTTCTTCTGCTTTTGAGGGATGGCTTTTTAAATTCAATTTTGTTTGTAATTGTGAAAAATCTTTGCATAGTGCCAAGATGAAATCTACACAATGAGGTGCCACCCAGGCCCCGGGCTGCAGGGCTCCTCACCACCCAGACCCCAGGCAGAGGCCGCCCTGGGGGGCAGGGTGCCTGGGAGCTGGAGGGTGGAGAGCAGAGGTGGCCAGTCCCAGGAGCACGGAGCTTCCCCCTCACCACTGCTCTCCCCTCCTGCACAGGTCGCCAGGCTGGAGGGGAGGATCATCCTGACGTCGGGGCAGCCCTACCACACGGTGAGCACCCCAAGGATGAGCCCGAGGGGCCTGAATCTCATCTTCCCAAGCTCCCAGCCCCTCGGCCACCCCACCTCAGGGTTAGCTTG